AAATCCATGTACCCAAAAAATATATATATATATATACATTTATATATATAGATATTAGGTAGGTGGACTGTCGAATATAGTCGGGTATTCTACAAAAGAGTGATCAATGTTCTTAAGGAACAGTGTATTAATAAATTAATACATGTAATAAAAATAATAATAATATATATATATATAAAATAATATTAATAATAATAATAATAATAATAATATATATATATATATATATATATATATATATATATATATATATATATCACAAACAATTCATACGTAGTTTATATATGATGTAGTTTATATTCACATGCCTGTAAAATGTCCTGTAAGTATGATCTTGTTTCTATTTGTAAAGGTAATATATTTACTATGGCAACAAATGTAAACTAAATAAAAAATTTAATGACCTGTTCATGATGAATGTGTATATATATATATATATAATATATATATATATATATATATACATATATATATATATATATATATATATATATATATATATATATATATATATATATATATATATATACACATATATATATATATATATATATATATATATATATATATATATATATATATATATATATATATATATATATATATATATATATATACGTAATAGACATTAATATCACAAAAGTATGTTCAATTCCCTTTTAGTTTTGGAGTTTTTTTACAGGTTGGTAAATTCGGCACAACCGAAAATAAAAACGGTTTATTAGCCGAAGTTATCTCCCTAGAGCAATTCTTGATGAAAGTTCTATAACTTGTAAGGTACTCAGAGTTTAAATAGTATTGTTACTCACATTTTATTCAGTTCATATTTCTAATAAAATAACTAACTATTTTTACTATAAGGCTAATGAGAAAAATCATTTATCTTATTTTCAAAAAGGTAAAAGTATTAGAAAAAGCAGAATTTATGAGAATATGTCTCTCGATTGGCTCTGTCATTTCTTGATTTATTAAGACAAGGCTACTTTACACATTTTCAACTTTAAATATTTCAAAGGCATAAAATAATTTAGGTAATTATATCATTTTGACATATTAAAAGCTTTTGAAAAAGTCTGGCATGCTAGTCTTTTTTATGATATTCAGAAAAATTTGCAACATTGTGCCATTCCTTTTTAAAATTGGAAAAAAAGATTTTTTCCTTTTAAATTTGTGAAAAATGAAAGAAAAAATTTTAATAGCAACATTCTTCTTTATTTACAATAAGCTCTGTGGTAACATCCTTAATCTCATGCTGCTTTTCATTTATAGTAAAGATGTTCCTTACAATTTTACCTCTAGAATAGCTTTATTTGCTGATGATGTATACTCCAGTCTTGATAAAAAAAATCATTAATTAAAAAAAAAATTTGTTTAGAACAGGTAATCTTAAACAATACCTTCTTTCGCTTGGGATTTTCAGTGGCTTTAGTGATTTTCTTTATCAATTTTCTTATAATTTATCATTTTAGATGTATTTGTTTTTTTGTTACTTCTTCTCTTTTAAGTATTAAATTTGCCAGGCAAATCTTTATCTTTCAAATCTGTAAGTACATGAAAAGAAGTTTTTTAGGGTAACTGTGTAGTGCATTGTAAACAAAAATTGTTTGTTATAGATTTGCACTATTCCGGTCCTTTGCTTGCGTTTTTTCATAGAGTTATTTAGCTAGTTTTTCATAAAGTAGTAAGCTCAATTGCCTTTAAAAAACTTTATTGAAAAATATGTGCAATCAATATCCTGGGGGATATTCATTTTCAAAGTTAAACATAAATACACATTTATGTTATTTTGAAGCATAATTTTTAGACAACTTAAAGTTTAGTTAAGATTAGAAATCCACCCAATTTTTTTAGTTTCTTATATTCAACTTATAATTTTCCCTATATTCATTGGGATTCAATTCTATATTCTTCAGGATAATATTCTATTATCACTATTATTATTTATTCTATATTCTTCGCGATAATATCTATTATCCTATAAAATTCACACTTTATGGTCTATAGGTAGCTGTTTGTCACCTCACCATCTTATAAATCTGCTATTGATAAATAATAAAAACAGTCATTTAAATGCTGGTTTTTAATTTAATCTAAAATTCTGGCAAAAGTAAGGCAAATTGGTAAAGCTCCTGAAAGATTTTAAATACTCAGGGGGAAAATATTGTTTAGTTTTATTTTCTTGCTAATAGAAAGTTTGTTAAAAATAATTTATTTAGTTTTTAAATAATAAATACACTTTTTTCTAATAAAACAGCTTTTTTCATTTTTTTATAAATAAAGTACAAGTTATTTTTTGTTTACAGCACATAAAGATTTCAAACAAAAGAATTTTGATTTTAAACTTTTAGTTTTATTTTTTATTCATTTCAATTTTGTGGCTCATTTGTTTTTACCTTTTGTGAGCCATTTACCCATTTATCATTTATAAAATAAACAAAACATCTTCAGTGACTATAATAGATATGCAATCAATATTTTTGTTTGATTTGATAATGTTGGCTACACCAATAACTTTTATTTCTGGGATTTAAACTAACCGAGGACATTCTGCTGTCCCAGTTTGTCAGTAAAGGACTTGTTACTGATAATTGCCCTTCCATTTTAGCAGGTTTTCGTCTATTATTCCGATGTTGTTGTTTGATGTAATTTTAAGATATTTAGATTTTTAAAACATGATGGTCAAGCGCTTGCCAACAGTTCTAGCAACAAATTACCATTATCTGGATCATTACCATGGTCTGGTATGCCAAAATTGTCTGAATGTCTAAAATTGTCTAAATCACATGCCTAGGGAGGCAAATTTAGAGGACAGTTAAAATTACAGTGCAGCCAATAAGGAAAAATTAAAATTTTCAAATCCTACTAACGAATAATTTTTTTAATGTTATATTTGGTTTTGCTAAGTTTCAAGTTTTTAAGTGATTAAATTTTAATGTAATTAAGCTTAAATTAACTTTGAAACTTTGATTTTTTCTAAGTTCTATGTAGTGAAGCTCTTTTAAATTAAAATAAAAACATATACTAATTTTATGCTTTTATTTTTTCTGGTTTATTTAAATTCATTTTATCATTAATTAGAATTTTTTTTAGTTTTTATTTGACTTTCTAGTTTATAGTTTGTTTATTTTAAATTTTAGTTTAAGTTGACATATGTTTAGTCAGCACTTTTTTTTTTTTAATCTTAAAATGTGCAAGGAGCCATAGCCAAAGTATTATATGCAGAGTCATATAAGGTGTGTAACTGCACAGGTCTCCTGAGAAGGCTTAGTTATTATAACTGTTTCATCCACCATCAATCCCATTATTTCATCTCATTTTTCTAAGTTCAAATAAAACAACTGATGTTACGGAATCTTTTACAAACATTAAAAATACCAACATCAGTACCTATAAATGACGATTCTTGTAAATGGAATATTGACAAATTTTTGATTACTTTTGTTGCAAAGTTTGATTTTAAATACAATGCTGAAAGAAAAAAAAAAGACTAACACTTTGGCAACTATTTTAGTTCTTTTTGATAGTGTAAATAACAAATTAGAAGCCTCTAAAATGAATCTATTACTGCTGCTCAGCTATCGAATTCGATAATAAGATGTCCAAAATGAATTTTTTTTTTTTTATAGATTTCAAGAAAAAGCTATGACAATTTCAGTTACCTAAATTGTATTATATATTTTATACATAATGATATACATTGTTTGGTCATACATGAGTTGATACATATTAACTTTTTCTAACTCTTGCTTTGAAGTTTTACCTTCTGTTTCATTAATAAGCTTTTTTTTTCTTTCATTTTTTGCTTAGTTTAATCCAGACAAATCAGAGAAAAGTTTCTTTGCAAAGAGTTCTGATTTATCCTCGGGAGAGGTAATAAGATAACATCCATTTATGATAGAAGATTAGACTTGCCTTTTTTAATGATAATGTTAAAGATTTTCCAAAAGTCTCGGGAACCTAACTTAGAAACAAAGTATAGTATTTAGTAACATGAGAATAACAGTTAGAAACATTTTACTTTGAAAAAACATTGGGGTTTATCAGCTTTTAAAAAGTACATGCTAACACCCAGAGATCAACTTACAATGTTAAGGTGGTGTAAGAAGAGAATTGGTTGGTCTTTAGATTAGCGTAAGCAAGTAATTTTCAGTGATGAAGGTAACTTTGAAGTAATAAGTAAAAAAAATCAAAGTTTTTGTCAAAAGATTTATGTCTGAAAAGATAATTAATTCAATCAACCTACCCACCTATATAATAGATGCAATACATTGTTTCATAAGTAGACATACTGAATGATTGATATGAATGTGGAGATTTCAACAAGATGTGGTGCCTGCTCAATCAGCTTATAGAGTCAAAATATGGATATAAGAAAACAAAGTAACTTTATTGCTCAATTGCGAGATTTAAATCCAATTAATCTGTCTGGTCTCAGATGGACAAAGAATCAGTTTAGGTTCAAATAGCCTAAAACAAAAACTAAATACCATTTAAGGAAGAGTTTAGCTTGCAAAAAAGCATGTGAAGGATATTTTAGATATTAGTTTTGATGTTAATTTTTTATTATGCCAGTTTAAATATCATAGATGATATTTAAAACTGTATTTTTATAGATAATTTTTATTAATATGTTCAACAATGAATTTATATGCAAGTGTATGTTTTAGTATATCATCCTAGATGCAAGATTTATTTTACAAAGTTTTTCTCAGTGTTCAGTTTTAAAGCACTGTATATGGCTGTTCAGTTTTAAAGCACTGTATATGGCTGTTCAGTTTTAAAGCACTGTATATGGCTGTTCAGTTTTAAAGCACTGTATATGGCTGTTCAGTTTTAAAGCACTGTATATGGCTGTTCAGTTTTAAAGCACTGTATATGGCTGTTTAGTTTAAAAATACTGTTAATGGCTGTTCAGTTTTAAAGCATGTTAACAGTCTAATTTCTAAATTTATGATTTCTAAAATAATTTATGATTTTACTTATCAAGTTTTTTCTTTTAGCTTCCAAGGCATCCTGCTGCATTTGCTTTGGTGAATATACTTTAAATGAGGATATTTTACAGTTTCCTTGTAATCACTTTTATCACAGTGCTTGTGTTTTAAATTGGCTAAAAATAGTAAGTTTTATTTTCTAAATGTTTTGACTTATTTTCTTTTGAATTGATAATTATTATTTATTTAAATTTTATAAGTTTTCTTTAAGCAGATTTTTATTATATAAGGTTTAAACAAAAGTTACTGAATGACTATTAAAATTAAACTGTAAAATAAAAATATTCTTTAAAATTTTTTTTTATCTCAAAAGTTCAAATCTCATTAAATACACATTGTGCAATTTTTAAAATATGTTTTTATATGTTAAAGTATGTTAAAATATGTTTTTATATGTTAAAGGATTATATTTTTTATACTTTTTTATTATTTATATTTTCTATACTTTTTTCTTATATATATATATATATATATAAGAAAAAAGTATAGAAAATATAAATAAGATTTGGACAGGAATGGCGTGTACCCTGAAATAACCATGTTTTTTTTTTTTTTCTTTACAATTTGACCATGGCTGTTTTGATGTTTTAACAATTTTGAAGCAATTTTTAAAATTGTTATGTATTTTCTAATTTAATAAATTAGAAAATACATAAAAATTATGTATTTTAAAAGTTAATAAATGGAACCTATGTTTTAGTGATCCTAATTTTTGTGATTTTTTAAATGTTTTTGATTGGCAAAATCAATCTTTTCTTTATAAATGGATCCTATGTTTTAGTGATCCTAACTTTAGTGTTTAAAGTATTTATGTTCAATGTATCATGTTTAGCAAAATATTTAAACTTTTAGCTTAGCCATTCAAGGTCCTAATATTTTATTTCATACTTTTTTACCAAATTATGTCAACCTCTTCAAGATTATGCTTTAAATGCTCTTCTTAAGGGCATATTTTATAAAAAAAATATAAGTTCGATATAAACTCAAAATGGTTTATTGAAGCCCTGTTTTTACAATTTGTTATTTTTATTTCCTTGAAATTTTGATCATATTTAATTTTTTTTTTTTACTTGTATTAAATGTACCAACAATATTCCTTTGTTCGTCAATGTTTCAGTTTTAGATTTATAGGCTTGAGAAAAGGGTATAACATCAATTTAAAATAAAAACAATTAGCCTATTAGATTACAGTGGCCTCCTGGCCAATGGGAAAGTGAATAAATATATTTTTAAAAGTAGGGGTAGAAAAAATCTGACCGAACCTCCCGATGCACTTCTAATGATATGTATGTTAAATGGGTTCAATCATGTTGGTAAAATCAAATCCACTAACATATTTAACTGATTTATAAAATGTGAGCATTGTTGAAAACTGATTATGTTAAAATTATTTATTCTATTAAACTTTATATTAAACTGAATTAATAAAACATAAGCATTGTTGAACGTTGCCTTAAAAAAAACAAGAAAATAATTATCTAGTTATATAATTATCGTAATAGTTAACATAAAACGTAACTAAGATCTTGCCCACTTAGATTTTTACTGTGTATGTATTTTTTGCCACTAAATTCAAAAATTGCCTTTGTTTTGACATAACAATGAAAGTTTTTTATTTATGTTTAATTTCATATTTTTATGATATAAGTGCAAATTTTGAGTGAATCAATTTTTTGTATCAATTTATTCTAATACTGTAGAGATAATTGCATAGCATATAGTACTTTTCTATATATTTAAAGGTATTTAAAAAGTACTATAGTATTCTTTACTATAAATATTTTTAAACTTTCAATTACAAAACAGTTTTTTACTTTTCTTTTCTCCAGATTAGAAATGCTCTGATGCTCACAATTTTCTTGAGTTTTAATAAATACAACTTTAAAACATGATTCAAAATAAGAGTTATGATGTTTTTAAAAAAAATTACTTTGATCGTAAGGGCAAACTTTAAATGCGTATTTGATAATAGGCATATTAAATTTTGATAATAAATTATCAAATACGCATTTAAATAAATTATCAAATATGCATTTAAGTTTTTCATAAAATGTTTATTATAAGTTTAATGAAATTTTGACGACGTGGAAATAGAAAACCGCATATTTTAAAGTAATTATTAATGACGTTTTTTTTTTGTCAACTATATATATGTATTATTACCTGTCCTGTAACCCAGTACTTTTCTATACTCATCCAAGCCATGGTTACAAGAGAAGCACGTTAATCTCTAAATAGCTCTAAAACTCAAATCTTTTGTTTTGTTTTTTCAATTTTTTACTCAGAACCATAAAATAAATCTTTGATTTTTGTTTAACCTAGCTTGTGCTCATCTATACAAAGCTTTTATCTTGTACTTTTTCTATATTAGATATACCTTATCACTTCTTACTATTACATTACTGAGATTCTCCTTGTAATGTTCCTTGAACTGATGCTGGTTTCTTGAACTTATGCCTTTCCTTTCTTTGCTAAAAGTTTTGCTTTGTTAACAATCTCATGGATTCAGACAGTCATGAAATGAAATGTTTTGTGATACACTGATGATGTATGGACACTCATTTGCTGGTTGGCACTAAAAATATTATATTTAGCATTAAAGTTTTTACACATTTAGAATTAGCAGAGAAAATTGGTTATTAAAAATTGAAGATTTGCAGTGGGCAAAAGTTTTGTAAAAATTAATAGCATACTATTTATAATTAACTTATCAGTTACTCTTAAATGACTTGTTGTTGAGTTGTTCATACATTTTTTATTTGGCGAGATGTTTTTACATAAAAAGTTTCTATTAAATATATTGAAAAACTTTTAATAGATGGGATGCTTTGGTTACATTCTTAAATATCAGCATTAAAAATGACATGCAATTGTCAAACTTTAATAATTATGTCTTAATTTCTGATGTAAATTGCTTACTTTTTAGTTATTATTAATTTAGTTATTACTGGGCTGCTATTGTTTTAGTAAAAATCCACATTGTTGTATTTTTAATTAGTGTCATTTTATTGTTTGTAATTTTTATTTAAGAAATATGTAATTTAGGCATAAAACAAGTAATTTTTTTTTTTTTTTTTTTTTTTTTTTTTTATTTCACCTCCTCAAGGCCGAGAAGGCCACTACAGACGAGGAGGCTACTTATTTAAGGTTATAACCCTCTCTCAACTCTATAACTCCGAAACACGAACTTTGACGAGCAAGGCCGCTGCGCGGAGAAACGAGTTGAGCGCGGTACTACCAGGGACGTGGTGGGGATCGAACTCGGAACCACTCGTTTATGAAGCGAGCGCTCTACCACTACACCACTACCGCATAATTTAGTTTGCCATGTTATTTTGTAAGAATTCATTGTACTGAAAAAAGTTAATAAATTGACAGCTCATAAAGAAATGTTTATAAAGAAATATAGATTGGACAGTTCATCTAAAAATATGGATAGTTTTCCAATGCAAAATTAAATAAAGTTTATATGCATAACTTATTTAGTTTAAATAAAGTTTATTTTAGCTAATGCTATTGATAAATCTTTTGGTGAATAAATTTACTAATCAAGTATTTAATGATGTAATCTAGTAGTAAACAAATACATGTGTATTTAGCAATAAATTTCACAAAAATGTCTTTAACAAGAATATTCTGCAAGAATATTCTAAATTGAGATAATTGGAATGATCAAATATAATTTAAAACTTTAAGCAAATTTTTTCTCTTAATTTGAGTACTATCAAACTTCTTGATTTTTATTTGTTGCTTGATCAAGTAGTAAATATAATTAATGAGCAAAGTAATAAATATCCAAATTTTTATAATCTCTTTAGATATAGTTTTGGACACCTGCATAATGTCTGACTTTCAAGGTAGCACCATTGTAACTCTGGGAAATAAATTGCTCTTTGCGAGATTTTTTCTAAAACAAGATTTCTAACTTTAATATTACAATCTGATAAACCACCTGCAGTACAATCTTCTGATAAATCACCTGCAGTACAATCTTCTGATAAACCACCTGCAGTACAATCTTCTGAGTCTCAAAATCCCTAAAGTTGTTCAATAGTGCTACATCTAAATGCAATGTATGTTATTTGTCATTCAGTTTAGTCTCATCCTTTTACTATGACTTTTCCTTCTTGTTTTCCTGATTAATTTAATTTGCAATATTTTAAGTTGTCTGTTAGTCGTTATCTTGCTTTTTTCTTCATCTTTTTTCTTCCAGTAACTTTCAACTCTAATAGTGGTTGCTTGCAGCCTTGTTAGAAGTGAAGATGTTTAAATATATATATATATATATATATATATATATATATATATATATATATATATATATATATATATATATATATATATATATATATATATATATATATATATATATATATATATATATATATATTAGTTTCACATCAAATTTTGAACTGAAATTTATTAATTTTTTTAAAATTTTCCTGATTTCATTTTCTGTTTCATTATCACTTGCTAATTACAAAGCTCTTCAAATTTCATGCAAATTATTATTTTAGAAAAAACACATCTAATAATAATAATAATAATAATAATAATAATAATAATAATAATAATAATAATAATAATAATAATAATAAAGGAACCTGACTTGCCAGCTTATGACAGTTGTACTTTAGCTTGAATATTTAAAAAAAATATTTCTTAATAGTTAAATTTTAAATTCTTTTTCTTTGTTTTATATTTGTATTTTTATTGTTTTATTAAATATTTGTAATGGTTTAAGTTCTGTAAATTACAGAGTTTAACTTGTTGGAAAAAGTTGCAACCCAATTTGTAAAGAAATTGTACCTTAGTGCGCAGTCTTTGATCAGCTCATTTCAGTTTATAATAGTAATCTTTTTTTTATTAATACTGAAATTTGTTTTATACCATTTATCAGAACAACGCTGGTCTGATGAATGATTTGTATAAAAATTTCACCGATAATGTATTTAAGCATGTAAAGGTATGCATAATATCAATAGTCTATTTGCTTTAACCTTTATATATTAACCTTTTCCTTCCAATTCAAATCATTAGACGATATAATACCCAAGACTTTCACACATTAATTCAATGTAATAAGGTGGACTGAACCATCTTTCATTGTTATGTAGTTGAAGTCATTATTGTTTTTGCTAGTATGCGTTGCTTTACATTTTGCATAATTTAATTCCATCAAAAATTTATTACACCACTGAATCACCAGATTAATATCATTTTGGAGAGTGTAATAATCATTTAAGTTATTTATTTTAGCAATAATTTTCGTATCATTTTAACTTTCCAGCTTTAGTAGCCAAAATAAATTGAATGTTTTTGGTATCAATTTACCTTAGCTTTGCATTATTTTACATTTCATTAAAAAAAATTATGAATTGCAATGGTCATAAGACAATGTCTTGTTGTACTCCACTAATCACTAACGCCCAAAAAGATACATATAGATCTGATTTTCTGTATGCACTATCTGCTGTTGGTTTTTATTTTTTCCAAGTAATTTTAGTTTTTAAATAAGTGAGTCTATATTTTTTTATATATTTTTGATATGTTTTTTTACAATGAAATGTCCAAAAATGCTCTATAGGACATCCTTCATCAAGTAATAAGGGAAGCTAAATAAGTTATCTATAGGACATCCTTCATCAAGTAATAAGGGAAGCAAAATAAGTTATCTTTAGGACATCCTTCATCAAGTAATATAGGCAGCAAAATAAGTTGTTTTATAGTACAGTAAGAGACTTTAATTAACTTATTTTTAGAATCAAGTGGATAGCTGAATTAAACTGAGCTATCCAGTTTAAGCAAAATAAGTTATCTATAGGACATCCTTCATCAAGTAATATAGGAAGCAAAATAAGTTGTTTTATAGTACAGTAAGAGACTTTAATTAACTTATTTTTAGAATCAAGTGGATAGCTGAATTAAACTGAGCTATCCAGTTTATTCTAAAAACTAGTTAACCTATCCAGTTATTCAGTTCACTTATAATGTGCTCTATATTCTAGAAAAATTTAGTTGCAAAAAGTATTTAAATGCACAGTATCAAACTTGTAAAGCACCTATCTGAGGTGAATAATGCCATATTTACCTGTCCTGATTCTTAACCGCCTATTATTTAATTTTAATATAAACAAAATGTTTGTATTGATATCACTTGATATTATTACTTTTACTTGATATTGGGCTTGGGGAAGTGAATTAACATAAAAATATATTTAAATGACACTTGAGTATTTAATTTTAGTTATTTTATTATGTAAGTATTACTTTATTTTTAATGGCTAAAAAACTATTTTTATTTATTTGTTACATACTTGATGAATGTATAATTCAAAATAATACCTTGTTATTTTTTTGTCTTAATGGCTTTTCTCAGTCTTAAAACTAATAAGTTATTTTTTTGTTATTTTTAGAAATCTACTTGCCCAACATGCCGTTATGATCTCACTCAAATGATAACTTCGAATGATGGTATACCTGAACCAAACGTGATAAATGATTATTCTCAGTCTATATTTATTGATCAGCCAATTAATACTAATGAAAGCATTGCTCAAAGTTCTTACGATATCGTTAATCCTCCTTCGGCTGACGCAAATTTTTCAAATCATTTTCATATTGGCAACTCTAACCGAAATTCGACCAGATATGATAGTTATAATGGTTTAAGCTCTGATATATCTCGATGCAACAGTTCAAATATTGAAACAGCTTATAGCTCAAACTTAGATAATAGAGACGCTTATTTATGCAATGACATTTCCGAAATTCGTCGCTCTGATGTTGAAACTAATTTAAATCAATGTCCGTCAAGGTCTAACGCAGAGCTTCGTTTTAGCGCTATATTCGAAAAAGAGGTTGATAGTTCATTAATAAACGTTGAATCCCAAAGGAATCTTTCTAAAATAAAATCGGGAACCACGTTGAGTGTTCGTGATACTAAGAAACCCTCTAGAGAAACCGATATATGGTAAAATAAAATCACAAATATTTCAATAAAAATTTTCTTCGTTTCAAATTTTGTTATAAAATTTTTTTCTTTAATCTTATATTAGGTATTTTGTTAATTTTTTTGTTTTCAATTGGTTTGCAGTAAATATTTTTGTGTGAATACGTAATTTTGATAATTTCTGCATCGTGTGTTAGGTATAAATTAACTGGAAACTGACAAGTTTGCCCAAACAATTTTTACTTCATTACTACACATCTTATACATTTTTAACAGTTGTCTATTAAATACAGTTTTTTTTTTTTTTTCAAGCATGAGTTTTTTTATTATCGCTTTTTGTAATTCTATTATAGGTATTAATAGAAAATAGAAAAATAAATAAATAGAGCAGGGAATATCTTTTTCCGGATATTTCCGGAATTCCGGATATCCAAAATGTTTTCTCATACATTCAAGTTTATATAATATTTGTTTTAATGTATATACACTTTTCGTTTTCAGTGATCAGCCATAAAAAAAATGTCAAAAATGTCTATAAAAATTCTGAAACCTACCAGCTGAGAGCAAAATTAGGAGATTAGTAAGGGAAAATATGTTCCGGATTTTTCCGGATATTTTACATAAACTATATTTTCCGGATTTTTAAAAAATTACCTGGATGATCACTGATAGAGCCGTGTTTACATGTTCTCTAAATCAAATCAGAGTTTATCATGAAAGTTGGTAGCGGATAATTTATATCAATAAAAACAAACCAAGCGTCACATAGGACTGTGTCGTTAAACGAACCTTAGGTTGAAAAAATTGTACAGAAAAACTGTTTACATATACTGTTAACTTTATGCTGGTGACTCCAAAAATATATTCCTAAAAATTGTAACATTCCATCCTGATAAAGTATTTTACAAAAAAAGACGTTATTTAGAGTATTTTATTTAAATGTTAAAATGGCATATTTGAAAAGTTTAGGCGTTTATAACTTATGTTCATTTCAAATCGTTTATTGAAAATGCTTTATTATATGTATATACATTTAAAATTTCCTTTTATAATAGCTATTATAACAAGATATTTCATAAAATAAAATCCAGTAAGAAATTTATCGCCTGCTTAAGTAAAATGTCAAACTCTCCACCATGTCATTCTTAAGTCAAAAAGTATGCGCGATATGTTAACGAAAATCGGTAACTTGGCTTGGTCCTTTTTTAGTTCACTTTATAAATATTTTTTTATCTTCTGAATGCAACTTCAACGACCCAAGTTTCCCTAGTCAAAAAATCTTGAAGAATCTTATAGCAATTCTATCAATCCAATAGGATTCCTATAAATTCAAAAGGAAACTTGTTGTACGTATAGGATTGCAATAGAAATCCTATTACAATCTTATTGGTACTGTAGGTTTACTATAGGACTAATAGAATTCCAATTGATTTCATATGAATCCTATTGCAATCCCATAGATCATATAGGATTCATATATATATCCTATAAGATTATATAGGACCTATGACATACCTTTTTGTTTCCTATTGCACTCCTATAGGTTCTATTGAATTCATATATGTATCCTATAACTTCTATAGGGATCCTATAGGACCAACATGATACCTATAGGAATGCAATTGCAATCCTATAGCTCATATACGATTCAAATAGGAAGAATAAAACTGCAACAGGTTTAATAGTTTAATCCTATATAAATCATATAATTCCTACAAGGATTCATAAGACTCCTATTAGAATAAACCAATTTCCTAACGAAAGTAATTGTCTATAATACTTCCTATTACATTCTATAGGCTTTTCAAATGAAAAACACAACTTTCTCACTGTAAATTTATGGCTAACTAACATTACAACGTTATTTTTATCCAGCCAATTTCAAAGCAAACTAAAACCTTATGGAATATATAATATATTTCATTAGCTTTTAATTTGATTTTTTTCAAACTTTTTGATTAATTCCGCATTTTTTTTTTTTTTTGTAAATAGCTAGCATTTTTTTAATGTTGAAGTGGCGTTGTAGTTTAGTTCGATCATAAATTTAAATGTTACAAAATAGCCAATAAGGCTTCGATAAGCTTTGTATATTTATGGCTTTAAAAATTATTAATGGTTTAATTAATTTCGGGCTTTTTCAAAATAATGTTGCTCTCAAAAAATTATAAATAACGCTTTATTATTCAGTTGAAATATAAACTGAAACTTATATAATAACAGTTTCAATGTCTAAAATAACATAATATTCTTGTCTTTATTCATTAAATGACTCTGAATCTGAAAATAAAACATTAGCTTGCATTGAAAAAAGAAAATTGGAAAAGAAATTGAAGCTTAACCGGCTTCAATTTCTTTTCCAATAAGTATAACTGATGAAATCAATTTTAAAGCAAAATGGTACGGAGCTATATATACAAATTAATGATAAAATTAACTCTCCCTCTCTCTCTCTCTCTCTCTCTCTCTCTCTATATATATATATATATATATATATATATATATATATATATATATATATAAGAGATATATATAGATATATATATAGATATATATAGATATAGATATAGATAGATAGATAGATATTCCTATTAAATGAATCGCTAACTTGAAAAGGGGACATGTCACATTTATTTCAAAATTGAGATTCTATATAATTATTTTTTTTTACTTTATTATAAATATACAAGTAAAACAAAATGCTATAATATAACAATAACAATAACAACAACAATAACAATAACAATAATATATATATATATATATATATATATATATATATATATATATATATATATATATATATATATATATATATATATATATATATATTCTGAAATAAAAGTTTACATTTCTTGGTTGTTTACTATTAGCACAAGTACTAATCTAAGGTAAGCACCAATTAGATAATAACAGCAATCATATAATAATAATAATAATGTAAATTAAATGAAGACGATTATAATAATATCAATAATACTATTAAATATAATAATGACAATAATAATGATTATATTAGTAATTATAATAACAACAACAACAATAATAACAATTTGAATAATATAAATTTATAAGAGCTCAGATTCTTGCTTCTAGAGCATCCATCTTAAATCCTACTCAAATAAGTATAATTTTTATGTATATAAAAGTATAGAATATTGTTCATTCGGTGTCTTATAGGATAAAACTCCTGTAAGCAGGTCCGCTGAGAGCTGTCACTCCGCCTGATTGGCGCCCTTATTTATCAAATTTTCTCTATATTATATATAAAGGACCATTTTTTTTTTTTTCTTTTCTTTTTTAGGTACCTACATTTCATTTGACGCCCCTCGGATATCTGCCGCCTGGGACAAACTATCTCTCGCAACCCCCTTCCCTCTTGGCGGCACTGCCTGTAAGGTTTTGGAACAGAATTGAATAGGAATCTTATCCTAAAGTAATTCCTAAAGATTGCATTTAAATGCGTAATCCTATATTAATACAGGGGGGTTTAAACTTTATATGGTCATATTTTTCGAACGCTAAAATGTTTTAGTATGAAATATAAAACTTATCAATAAATATAAGTTTAGTTCAAAAAATATTTCATCAACTTGTTGCTCTATTTAGATAAAATTACTAGATTTTATTACCTTAAAATGCCTTTTAAAACGTATTTAAAGTTATACAATTATTTTTAACGAGATTTTTGCATAAATATACAACTTTTAATTTAATCTATGAGAAACTTGAATATATATATATATATTATATATATATATATATATATATATATATATATATATATATATATATATATATATATATATATATATATTTTCCTTGATTTAACCTTGTTTTGTTACGGAGGTTTACGTGGTGATATTTCTTTATACTCACTCTGTGTTTATTCTATTTCTGTTCTGCTTTGAAAAGTTTTGCACGGAAATTTAATGCAGAGAAATGTTTTGATTTGTGTCTTTTATTATAGAACTTAATTAGTCGTTTGATGCGGAAGAACAAGAATTTTTAACGCAGCCGTGCGGACTGCTGCAGTCTCTTTTATTATTTTTTAAAAAATTGCTAGTACCTCGTTTCTTGTAAGATTCATTACACGCATAGTTTTTCGTTTGCTCCTCTAATAAATTTAAGTTTTGAATTTTCTTTCCTGCTTCTTTTACAAAATAACGATATTCTTCTGCTGATATTTTGTCTCCATGACTTATTTTTATACTTTGTTTTACGTTTTCATCTCTGTTATTATTTGTAAAACCTGTTGAGTTACTTCCTGTGTTAACTTTTAATATATGGTCAATTGGTCTTAAATTTGAACTATTCCGTTCAACCTTTAGTCCAAAAAGTCCTTTTGAAGAATAAAGGTAAGAGTTTGCACTTTGCATCGATATAAATTAATACATCAGGTCAAAAAAAATAATTTAAAACTAATTTTAAACATTTTAGTGTTTACACTCAAAGTTTTTATAAAATAAAATAAAAATGCTAGATTTTATAATAACTTGCAAACGACTAAAATGTTTTTAACATCTTTATAATAACATCGGCGATGAAAGCGGATGGCAAATATTTTTTTTTCACAAACAAATTTCAAATTCAGTTTGATTTATTAAAACTTAAATATTTTGTTTATTTGTTTGTTTTCAGCCGCTATTTTTTTTCCCCCTAATTCAAACATTAGGGTAGAAAAGCATTTTTGCTCTCTGTTAACTAAGGTAAAAATGCAAAATTTTTGCTGCAAATGTTGATAACAAACCCATATGGATTTGTTAGCAACATTTTTTATCTTTGTTTTGCATCTATTTATTAGCTGAATACAAAAAATATAAGTGAACTAAAAACTGCACATTATTGAAAAAAAAGCTTTTTATTAACATTAGTAAATAACGCAACAAAGTACCTCATCAGATAAACTTTTAATGATTATTTTTACCAAAACTGGTATCAAAACGCTACTAGCTCAAAATAATCTAATAATTATCTAGGTCACTGGTTCCCTGATTCCGTATGACTGAAAAAATGGCACCGTAAAGGTGGCGCTTCTGTCGCAATATAGTGGAGAAGTAAAACCGGTAAGCATAAGAAATTTATATTTTATACTTAATAAGTGTTTATATTAGATTGCAGATAGTTAAAAGTAAATTAATTTTGTGAACTAAATTGAAGCCTGGGAACTAAAGTGTAAACTAAAGCTTTGAAGCATTCAAATCTTTCAATTTCACTACTCTGAGTAAACAATGAAAAATTAACAAGGTAATCAATTACTTTACAAACTTCTTTAGTCATTAGCTTTTTCACCGTTTCATGAGTCTTTTTTTCATTTTGTATTTCTTTAACTACCTTAATGATACCTGGAGTAATTTAATAATCTGTCATCACTCCCCCCATAACCAAAACGTCATTACCAATTGTTAACATATCTTCGTGAGTAAAATTATCCAGAACAAGATCCTTGTCACGCTGACATAACTGATCAATTGAATTTTTCAATGCGGCAAAGTATTAATCATCTCTCTCGGGTACTTTTACTTTTTCCTTAATTCCTGCATTGCGTAAGCAGTTAATAATAGTAGTTTCTGAAACTTCTTTTCAAGAATGCAATGCAAGCATTTTCATAGCATTAAGTATGATCGATTTGTAAGACTCCTTGATCCATTGGTTGCAAACTAAGCTAAAAATATTCCTTCTGTGATTAACAAAATAGATGCTTATAATTTTCCGATATCATCAACCCAAACATCTCATAAACTTTTCTTTTAGAAATTCGAAAAATCTTTTAAAATTCTTAAAACAAATAAATCCGTTGGTCATGACGGAAAGTCGTTGGTCATGACATAATGTTGTCATCGTTGTTCAATATTTTGTTTAGTATAATAATTTAATAATTGTTCAATAAAACAGTTAACATTTCCAGATCATTTAAAAATAGCTAAAGTCACACCAGTTTTTAAGGTAGGCGATCCAACCGATGTTACAAATTATCGCCCAATTTCTGTTTTTTCTAACGTTTTAGAAAGAATTTTATATTATTTTATTTATAACCACCTTTCCTGAAATAATATACAATTTATCAATGAACACGGGTTCAAAAAAAACAAAAACACGGCAGAACACGCGATACTCTAAATTACTCGCAGTATAGCCGAATCTTTTGAGAAGTCCCAATAAACGTTGAGAGTTTTCATAGATTTATCAAAAGCTTTCGACACTAATAAATACTAACTTTTTAGGTATATATATATGAAAACCTTAGGTATTAATGTTGATGAAAACCTGGAAATATTACACTAATTTTTTGTACAACAAAATTGCTAAAAGTATATGAGTAATGTAAAAGGCTAGAAATGCTTTAAACAAACCAACTTTAACATAATTATGTTTTTCTTAACATAATTATGTTATGGGTAGATCATTAATATATAACAAGAATATATATCAGCTATATATATATATATATATATATATATATATATATATATATATATATATATATATATATATATATATATATATATATATATTCTTGTTATATATTAATGATCTACCCTCTATATTAAAAGATCTTAATTGCTCTCTAACGTTATATGCTGACGATATCAAGTTATATAGTTCATTTAAGGATGCCGATTACAGTCACGATTTTGCTGTAGCCATTTATAAAGTTTATCTCTGGTTAAAAAAATGGCAATTAAAAATAGCCAATAATAAGTGCTTTACTCATAGAATAGCACCTACTTCATTTTGTAAAGATATAAATTACAACTATCAATTAGGCGATCATAATTTAACTTGATATATATATATATATATATATATATATATATATATATATATATATATATATATATATATATATATATATATATATATATATATATATATATATCAGCTCAATGTTTTTAATACTCATCGTTTTATGTACTTATGTAAAATTAACTCCTCTTCAGTTTCTTTCCATAATTTATTTGAAAGATATTAATTATTTGAAAGATAAAAGTAAATACAATTTGAGAAATGACTATTTATTCTATATATGACTATATATTCGGCAACCATTTTATTAAACTAACTTTGGAAAAACAAACATTGCATTTGGCAGGGCTTACTTTTGGAATAAAAAATTTAAAACATTTTGAATTATCTCTGGAATAGAGTTAGCTCTCGTTTAAGAAGAAACTTAAAGAAATTATTTTGTCTCTGGATATTTTAAACGTTTGATAATTTCATATATTATTTGATGTATTTGTGCTGTCAAGTTATTTATACGGGTATAAAACTATATTTCATTAGATTGTAAATTACGAGCGGTTCTCGATGACAAAACCTTTTACTTAGTTCTTATTGTTTGTATTATTCTTATTATTTATTTTACTTGTTTCTTATTGATTTTATTATTTAAGCGTTATCGATTTTATTGTACAAAGATTTACTAGTTACATTAGTTCTCAGTATTTTACTTGGATTCATTGTTCACCTTATATAAGAACAACTATGTTATTACCATTAAGGTGATAAGACAGAAAGATTTTATACTAAAAAAAGAAATTTTGCAAGTACTAATAAAAGAGGTGTGTTAGTTATTACACGTTTGCAAATTATTGTACAAACACAGTGAGAGGTATGTAAATTTTTTATTGTTAAAGTAAGTGAAAGGTATGTCAATTTTTTGTAGCCCAATTTTAATGAAATATTCTATACTATTTAGTAAAAACTTGTTTTGTATTGAGTTAACAGCAATATTTATTATTTCGAAAGTAGTTGTTTTTAAAATTATTTTTACCAAGGTTTAACTTTTCAAAAATGCTTTAACTTGATATATTTTTTAAACGTTAAGTTTGAATATTAAAATTTAACATTTAATACATTGGTACAGTTGTTCGTAATAAATATTTAATAAATGTTCTTTCGGCTTGTGAATCAATAAAATTTCTAAAAGATACTTTCTATATTTGTCTATGTTGGCTTCTGTAAGATAACGCTTCAACAACGTAACTAAACGTTCTGCTAGATCACTATTATCAAAATACGGATTTAATTTTCCTTCCTCGAATACAACAAAAGATTTTACGACGTCTGACATTTCAGTCACAAGACCAATATCATTTCTTTCTTTCAAGATACTTTTTTCAAATATTATCGAAATGGTAAATTCAAAACAATCAACTAAGTCAAATTCAAATTGTTTAAATATTCGCATTTCAATATCTTCCATAACCACTTGTGCTTGTGGAATATAACTTTTTTCTAAACGAAAACCAATGAAATATATACTCGTAATAAAAAACAATTCATTAAAAAAATTATAATAATAATAAAAAAAACTTTATTATTATAAAGTAATGGTATAATATATAGTCAATTAAAAATATATATAATATATAGTCTATTAAAAAAATATATAATATATAGTCTATTAAAAAATTCGAACTTTGTAAAATCAAATGTTTCATTACAACAATGAAATGATTCGAATAGCAATTAAATAATGGTTCAAAACAAAGAAATTTTAGAATAACGTTAAAAGCCATCATTAATAAATTGTTGATTTTCAATAAATAGTTTTTAGATAACGCTTTGGGTTGAAAAAATAACTCATTTTTTCACCAATATTTATTAATTTAATAAACCATTAATATAATTTTTTTAATTATATGTCATAATTTTGTTTAGTTTTACATTGTTTCATATATTACCATAATAGTTTAATTATATATATTTCGTTTAATTATAATCATAGCTATGTTTTGGAACAACAACAGTTTGTTACATTATTACGGTTTAATAATTATATGTCATAATAATTGGGTTGACTAAAAATTATAATAATTATATGTCATAATAATTGGGTTGACTAAAAATTATAATAATTATAAGTCATAATAATTGGGTTGACTAAAAATTATAATAATTATATGTCATAATAATTGGGTTGACTAAAAATTATAATAATTATATGTCATAATAATTGAGTTGACTAAAAAGTAATATGAAGTTTTCTAAAAAGTTGTTGAAGCTCATTTAAAATTCATTATATACATTAAACAACGCAACTTTAAAAACTTCCATGTTTAAAATATGTATAAGGAGTGAAATAAGTTAAAATTTTTGGATTGCAACTTTTTAATACCTCAAAAAATAGATGAGGTTAAAGATTATGAATAGCACAGCCTGTTTAATAAAATTTATTTGGGCCAGTCAGCAGACAATTCTATATGAAATATATGCAATCAGATAGGTCAGGGTTCAGTTTAGGAAGCAACATCAAAGTAATAAACGCTTTCATAAAGGCAACTTAACATTGCTAGATCAACCCAGATTTGGTAGAACAGTGGAATCAGTTAGGAGAGTTTAAAGTAACTAATTATACATTTGCATACATTAATTACATATAAATATAACTTATATGTTACTTACCAAGCAATTTTTGATGTGTTCATGTTACTATAAAATAACACTTGCAAATTAGAAAGACCTCCAAGCTCTGTGCTTTGATACAACACAAACTGACCTCTAGTCAGCAAGATCAACAACTGTATAAGGTATTACTTCTGCTGAACACCACAATAATGAAGCCTACTGTGCCAAACTTGACAAATGTCAGGTGAATTATTGAAAAAAAAATGAACTTTTTGAAAAAAAACTTTTGTAAAAAAATCTAGACCTAAACAAAATTTCCTTCCTCTATGACAACGTTCATTCTCACATTTACTTCCTCTATGACAACACCCACTCTCACATTTATTTCCTCTATGGCGACACCCATTCTCACACTTGCTTCCTCTATGATGACACCCATTCTCAAGCTTACTTTCTCTATGACAACGCCCATGACTTAGTGCTAACAGATTATTATTCTTAATTCCGATCACTAAGTAATAGCGTTCACAATGAAAGATTCGAAGATTAAGAAATTGTTATGCCAACAACATTCTTACTTTGCCTAAAGGCTGGTGAGCAGTTATAGGCAATGATGTTATTATTAATAAGATTAATTATGAAATTAATAAATTAAAAAAAAAAAATTACTTGTATTCAAAATATAATATCTAATAAAATATAATAAATATAAACATTATGTCAATGTCACAATTATGTTAAATCATAACAAAAGTTTGTTGTTAATAATTTAACAATCTCCAATCTGTATGAATAACAAAAAAAAATTTTAACACACCTATTGTGTTGTCAAATAAATTTACTGCAGCTGCTTGCCGAACAACAGCATCACAATCTCGTAACAAGTTGATACAACAACCCAAAAAAAGGTAGAAACAATCTAAAAATTGATAATAATACTTATAACAGCAAATTGTTTTTAAATTTAAAAAGGAGTTATCAATTTACTGTTATAAAAATTTTTAAACTATCATATTTTTATATGATATTTTAAATATTTATGATATGAGTTTTTGGTTAAAAATATTTAATGAAATTAAAAAAAAACAACATAGAATTTATATAACATAAAGAACGAAATTAAAAAAAACAACACAAAACTTACGTTTATCCAAAACAAAAAATGATGGATCAAACATCTGGTAAGTGAGAATTTCAGCAACAGCTTTGCGTGATGTTTGACATTGATTTTCGCAAGAACTTTCAAAAGAAAATTTCCATAAATCTTTGAAAATTTCTTTGTTATTGATATCCTAAACATTTTGTATATTTAGTAGTAATGATAAGTATTTAGTAGTTGTTTATTGTTATTTATTTGCTTTATTATACTTTATATACATTTTTTATGTCCAAAATAATTTTTAATATGAGAATATACATATATATATATATATATATATATATATATATATATATATATATATATATATATATATATATATATATATATATATATATATATATATATATATATATATATATATACATTTATATTTATACAATGATTATTACTTTTGAAATTTTTATAAATTTTCACTTCTTTTGAGACCCAACTTGATCAATTTTTAAAGAACTTTTTTTTTCAAAATATTAGGGACTTGTTTGATGTTTAAGGGTCTTGAGCAACCCCTAAATTTTTTTTTTATTTAGTGTTAATTTATTACATAAAACACATTAAGGGGGTGGCAGCAGACAATTTCAAAAAAAGTTGTTTTTAGTGGCACTCTAAATATATATATATATATATATATATATATATATATATATATATATATATATATATATATATATATATATATATATATATATATATATATATATATATACAGAGTATTTTTATGTCAATATACAATATACTAAGCGTGTATTTTATACATAAATATAGGTATATATTATAATAAATATAATATACACAAGTATAGATATATATAAAAATGATTAATTAGTCTTTTGAAAACACCATTTTTTTTAAAACCAAATTAATATTCAATAAAAGTATAACATTAAAATTTAAATATTTTATTTGCTAGTACAACTTCACTTTTAGACTTAATATTTTATTTGCTAGAAAAACTAGTTAATATATTAAAATATATTAGTTTACTACAATATGTTATTTGCTTTCATTTGCAACAAAATTAGCTCTTCACATAAAAATTAAAAAAAATATTAAATATCCTCTAAATTTAATAAAAAGCAATATTTTCAGTTAGCTCAGTCTTAAATTTAATTAATAAAACTAAAATTTTATTTTTCATCACAGCTTTTCTAATAAAATATAAAATACTTTTTTGTTCAAACATGGTAACAATTTTGGCACATACTGTATATATATATATATATATATATATATATATATATATATATATATATATATATATATATATATATATATATATATATATATATATATATATATATATATATATAAACACACCTGATATAATGAAATGGTTAACAAGCATAAACAGCATGCAACATTATGCATTAATACAACTTGACATCAATGAATATTATCTATCTATCACAAAAGATATACTAAATAGCATTTAAAAAAATTTATATTATCAATTATTGTAGATAGTCATTATTTTTTGTTAGGCATGAAACATGGAAAATGGAATGCATGAAGCATGAAACATGGAAAAAAAAAGGTGTCTAATGATTGTTTCGACATCACAATGGGATGGTTTAATGGAGTCAAAGCGTGTGAACTGTTTATACACTCTGGATTCTTTATCTAGAGCCATTAGTAAAAATAATTTAGCAAGATAAGAAGTTGATAGGAATGAGAAAAAAAAGCAGCATTACTGACATTACATTTAGTTTTCAAAAAAACTCCTACTAACTTTTTAAAAACAAAATGACCAACTAGTCTACATTCAAACTAAATAAAACCACCCACCACAAGTACTTAAGCCCTCTCTCACAAAATTCTTTGAATAAAAAAATATCTAACTCATTAAAACTAGAATTCGATAACCACTTAAACAAAATCGTTTTTAAACCATTCTAAATTACAGTTTAAAAATAAAGCATGCCCTAAAAAAAAAAAGGAAAATAATATGGTTTAAAAAACTGTTTCACTGTTCACTGTAAAATAAAAGCATCTACACCAATGTTGGCCAAATCTTTTTCAAATTAATAGATAACCATTTGCCACCTTCAAGCCCACTCTAGAAACTATTTAATTACCACACCATAAAGGATAGTTACAGATGCTCAAAAAACAATTAAAAAATCATAATAAGCCATAACAATAAAATTAATTTAAAAAGCACAACAGGAAATTTCTTTTGTAATTGCAAACCAAAAGAAATCTGCCTATTGAATGAAGATTGTAGAGCCACAAATATAATTTCCAAATGCATATGATTGCATATGATTATTATGGTTACAACATCTTCCCTAAACACACTCAGCATTTGTTTATCAAATTGTGTGTGAAAAAGAGATATGTGTAATGACGTAGTTTTATTTTTTACACATACATATTATATTTTTAATTCAATTCATAAATCACTTTCTTAGTAGTATATGTACTCTAAAACAGTATCACTACATGCACACACACAGAGTGTAGTGGAACTTCAATGAAAAAATAATTTTATATATTAAAAAAATAAAGCACTTCATTATAACAATAAAATAATACTTTAAATAATTAAAAAAAAAAAGAAATCAATTGTAAAAATTAATAAAAAAATTAAATTTTATTCTAAAAAAATTAAATTTTATTCTGTCAAAATGTTACTAAAAAATATTACTGAGTAATACTACACAAACAGTTTAGATTAGTTTAACAATTTAGAGCAACGTGTATCACATGTCGTTTTTTATTGAATGATAAAATACTTTGTTCACATTATTGTATCAAATGTTCACATTATTGTATTGAATGTTCACATTATTCTATCAAACATTCACATTAATTTATCTAATATTTTATCAGAAATAGAATACTTTTAAGTAAATATTTATTAGAATTTAATAAATATTTAATAATAGTTTTTAAAATCATTTTTCCAAGAATATTGAAACAAAATAAAGAGTTCACTAGCTAAAATAAAAATTTCATAAAACTTCCCTTTTGTGTTATAGAGTCACACTTATATAACTGTATGTGCAACTTTTTATTATAATATTGGATTAATTTAAATTGGTAGCACAGTAACACTACAATAGATAACAAAGGTTATTTTAAGTGCAAAGATGATCATAGCTAAGATGATCGAAGTGGTCAGCTAGTTGGTAAACAGATTTAAATGTATTAACTCCCTTTAATAAATTAGGATCATTTGTTAATATGTTCAAGAAGCACTGTTCTTCTGTAAAAGATTAGAAAATTGCTAGAGACCTAGATAGCCATAAATTGGTTAAATCAAATATAAAATTTGGACTAGGAAATAAACGAATTCCATTGTTAATAATAAAATGCACTATAGACTTGTTGCTTAGTTTTAAAAACATTTTCAAAATTATTTGTTGATATTTGTGTGAAATTTATCAGACTTATCAGCCATAGATTCCTAGATGTAATATATGCTATCTTTAAGTATACATGCAATCTTCAGGTATAAATGCAATTTTTAGGTAACTTCACAAATATCTTCTTACACTTATAAAAAAATTACCTGTTTATCAAGTTTTATCATTATTGCACCTGCTAGCTTAAGTAACGAAGAACGCATGCTATCCCTATAAATATATGTTTGCAAATAATTGTATATAATGTTGAATGTTGCAAATATAAGTATAATTGCAACCAACAGATATTTTTATTGATGTATTTATTGAAAAATTCAAAATTATACAAAATTTATAAAATGTACCAGAAAAGTAAATAAAAATATTGAATGCCTAATAATATCAAAAAATAATAATAATAAAAAAGAAAATACCTAACATAATTCTTCAAATCTAGCAAAATATTCCATAGCTATAAAAAAAAAAGCTTACCATATTTGTAAAAGAAATATGATGTTTTGTTGTTATTTACATTAAGTCTTACTAGTGAAAAAGTAAATATTTGCATAAAAAGACCAGACCTATTAACCCTTAGGTTGTAAGTAACTGGGGCCCAGGCCCTAGGTCAAAATAAGTCTTTTTGCAAAGCTAGCCCTGTCAAAATTATAAGATTTAGCAGGGGTTGATAGCCGGAGCTAAAAAAAACTTTTAATACTTTATATATTATAAATTTATGCATACATTTACTATTTATTAAATACTGGCATATATTTATATTTTTTTAAAATTTAATTCACTTCCAACAAGGTTGCAAGCAACCACTATTAAGTTATGAGTTACTAGAAAATAGAAGATTAAGGAGCAAGGAAACGGTTAACTGAAGACTTAAAAAGTTGTAAGTTGTATAAATCAGGAAAACATAAAGATGGGTAAGAGTTATGAGGTTTTGATGATGTGCAAGAAAAAAAACTGGATTTTTTACAGCATGAAGGGACAGATACAGTAAAAGGGAATTTGCTAAATGCGACAATGAGTTTTGGTTGATCAACTAGAGATGATAGCTCCTTTGATCATTGACCATGATAGTATTAGTAGAAAAAAGAAAGAAATGCAACCTTACAACGATGGGAGAGTGGCTTAAGCTAGACAGATAATGCAGGTCTAATTACATTTACAATGTGCTTTGTCTAAGAGTGAGAGGGTTATTATTCGTCAATATAGAAATGCTATCAATTCTTCAATATTTGTTTGCAGTAAATAAATGAGTTTTGTTGTCCAACAAAAATTATAGATTTCAAGTCTTAAAACCCACAATCTACTGCAAGCTCCAAGCTGTTACAGAAGAGAGATTAGATTAAAACCCACAATCCACTGCAAGCTCCAAGCTGTTACAGAAGAGAGATCAGATTAAAACCCACAATCTACTGCAAGCTCCAAGCTGTTACAGAAGAGAGATTAGATTAAAACCCACAATCCACTGCAAGCTCCAAGCTGTTACAGAAGAGAGATCAGATTAAAACCCACAATCTACTGCAAGCTCCAAGCTGTTACAGAAGAGAGATTAGATTAAAACCCACAATCCACTGCAAGCTCCAAGCTGTTACAGAAGAGAGATCAGATTAAAAATCGGCTGCTTTTTTAAACCAATTAAAAAGTGAAGAGTTTTTTTTTTGTCTTTTTGTCAAAACAAGAGTAAAAAAAATGTTGAGTCAGCAAAAAGTTGTAAAATTTTCATAAAGATTGTTATTGTAGATAAAAAACAACAAAGAAGCAAAGATAGAACTTTGTGGTGCCCATAAAGTTACTCTAAATGAAGAAGAATGTAAGTCTTTGAGAATAACATTAATACTGCAGTTAGAAAAACACGATTTAATAAAAAAATCTTAAAACCTTTGTATAAAGGAACTAATAATAGAGTGAGGACTAATTGAAAGATAGTTGGAGAGGTCAAAATGTTTTCCAAAATTTTTTTTAAAATTGGAACCATTTATTTAGCACTTATTAAAAGTTTAGCAAAAATTGAAGAGAGTTTATGAGAACACTTTTTTATGACTATCATGGAAATCTTGTCTGAACCATAAACTGTAAAAGTGTTTAATTGAAAATTAACTTTAGGATTGGAAGCCAGAGTAATTTGGATGATTAAGAATGGGTTAATCTGTTTAACTGGAATGACAGGCAGATTCAAGAGTATAGCCATAACATTCAAGAGTCAAGTTAGAGAAAATATTGTTTCTAAATAACTCTGCCTTATTCCGGAGAGAAGTAAAAAGATCAGACCCATGAATTAAAGCCTAAATGTTAGACTTTAGTTAATGATACTGGTAAAGATTTTCCAAAAGTCTCTAGAACATAACATCTGAGATAAGATACAAGATTTAATAAACTGAGAATAACAAAGCTTAACATCAGACAGGGCCTTTTTACAGTGGCCTCTTGCAATAATAAAAAAACATTTGATGGATAAAAAACCAACACAATGGTGAAAAATATGAAGTAGAATGGAAAATAGAATAGAATGGTGAAAATGGAGTAGAATGGAAAATGGAAAATAGAATAGAATGGTGAAATATGGAGTAAAATGGAAAATAGAGTAGAATGGTGAAAAATATGAAGAAGAGGCTTGACTTAAAATTGAAGAGGAGGAATAAAAACTTTTAAACTTTTATTCCAGAAAGAATAAAAGCTTCCAAGATGCGCATTTATGCATACATAATACAGATATATATGGATAAAAACATATACGTTTGCTATTTATTTAGATGCTGACATATAACATTCTTACATATTTATATAAATTTATTTATTTGGTTTAGTATTTGCTGAAAGAAAAGATGATCAGATGGATGTGTGGTATGACCCTAACAAGAGGAGAAAAGAAAGCAAAACCTTACACAAAGATTAGAAAAAAATGTTGTACCGAACATTTGTCAGAGGAAACATAAGTGATTTAGGTATCAGCATGTAGAGAGGTGGCAGCTTCAGGAAAAAATGGTAGTAGTAGAAGTAAGAAAACTTAAAAAGACTGCGTTACATATTGTATGAACAAGCTTTAGTTAAGGAAAGAAGATGATCGAAATTGTTTATATTAAAGAAACAGCATAAAAGAAGGCTAAAGCTTGATGATGATGATTTTGACAGATAATGATGATAATAATTTTGATAATGATGATGATAATTATGATGACCATGTTGATCATGATGATGTTTATATATGCATATATATAATATATATATATATATATATATATATATATATATATATATATATATATATATATATATATATATATATATATATATATATATATATATATATATATAACAAAAAAAAAATACTTATAGATGTATAAATGTTTATGCAGCTCTGGTCACAAACCTGGCCCCAACTACATGATAAACCCAGCCCCAATCAAATTTCAACCCTGGTCGTTTACTACCCCAAGGAAAAGAAAGATGAAACTGAGAAAATAGATTATGAAACAGTTGAAATGTTTTTACAGTTAAATAATTCCTACAGTAGAAATGTTTCTTCAGCTGAAATAATCGACATTTGAAATGTTTTTACATTTATAATATTTCTACTTTTGAAAAATGTTTCTACTGTTGAAATATTTTTACTGTTGAAATGTTTCTACAATTGAAATTATGGAATTTATAGAGTGTAGCTCCTCTGTAAAAATATTACACACTTTTATTACTTATATAAAATGTAATCAAATATTACAACTAGTTTACTTGTAATATTTGATTGTAGATCAAATATTACAAGTAAACTACTCTCTACCCTCTCTAATTAGCAGAGTTTTGTATATTAATATCAGAGTTCTGTATATTAATAATATCTGAAACCCAAACTCTTGAGTGCAAGAACTCAAACCATTTGAGTTGCTTAAGTTAAATATGACAAAATTTGGACAGTTAATGGAACAGGACCTGACTTAGAATAAACCAAAACTGTTTAGACAGGCTTTGGATTGAATTTTTTGATAAATCTGGTAGACTCATGACTCAAAAAAAGTATTAATAATAGTAGTAAATAGACCTTAATAAACCCTTGTTGTAGTTATTAAGTTGTAGTTTATAAGCAGTCAAAAATGACAAACATTTAAAAAAAGTTGATTTGATTTATGGTAGTTATTTATAGTATAGTTACGATATATTTATACAATTTACTAAAATATTTATGTATCTTAAAAGTAGATTTGTTTATAACAGATGGTTTGAGCTCAATGCAAAAATAAAATTTGTGATAAATATTTACTTCAGCAAATAATACTAAAATATTAAAATTAATATAGTTTATTAACAAAATAAATTTATTATTAATTATAAATAACCAAATTTCAAATTTCAAATAAATTAGAAATTACATTAGTAAAATACTTAATATAATATTTATTATATTTTAGGTTATATTTCATAGCTGAAAATGCTAAAAAAGATAGATTAAAGCATTAAATATACATATTTGGATTCATAAGCATCAATTGATCTTCCTCATTAAAATCCTACCTATAGAGACTATAATGTGACATGCTATAATGACTAGAGAAAAATAAAAAAAATCTTACTTTAGTCAACTCTTGCAATGAAAACTTGTTTTGATTTGCCATGAGTAATGATAGTACCTAAATACATTATTAACATTATAAACAAGCAATTTTCCACTAAACAAGAAGTTAATGACAAAAAATTTTACGCCTACTTATATATATATATATATATATATATATATATATATATATATATATATATATATATATATATATATATATATATATATATATATATATATATATATATATGAATAATTTAAAGTCAAAATTTTAGTATAAAATACAAGAAATATCAAACTTTAAGAAACAAATGTATGTTTTGCCACCACAAAGAAAATGTTTTTCATATTATTTAACATTGAAAATACTACGAAAAAATTGTAACATTGAAAATATAACTTTTTTTTCAAAATTTAGAAAAACTGTTGATATGTTCATTTAAAAAATGAACATAATGAAAAAAGTAAGGTTATTTTATAAGATTTAAATATGCTAAATTACTACTGGTCTCAAAGAAAAAAAAATATTTTAAAAATGTTTTCCAGGGTTACTTTTTTAAAATCTGGTACTTTGTGTCTGTTTTTCAATAACCTGTAACAAATATTGTTTCTATATTTCATCTTAATTTAAAGTGTTTGCAAAGTCTGTGATGAGTTTCTTTTGCATGACGAATAAACATAGCTACTTTTTGAAAATTACTACTTGTTTCCCACTGTGCTGGCAGCAAGTGTAACCAGGCATTTTCAATTCGGAGTAGGTTGAGCAGGAGCCAAGTTTTCTTGCCAATCAAATGTACTAATTTTGTGGATGAAACCAACTGTGGAAAAACTGGTACTCTTTTATCCAGTGGCATGTCTTTCTTTACTTTGATAAGTTGTCTAGCTATTTGTTTTTTTTCCAATTCTGGCACCAAACTTGAAAAAAGAGAAAAAGTAGCAGTTTCTTTGGATACCACAGATGCCTGTTCAGTGCAAGAATGGTTACTTCACCAACCTCTGGGTCAGTTTTATTTAACATGTAAAGATCATGGTATAACTGGAGATCATTTGATGATGCATCAGCTGAAAAAGGGGTGGCTAGCCACGCCTTTACATAGAAGAGTGCAATACAACGCAGTTTCTCCATTTTATCTAAGGTTTTAGCCAGTGCACCCCACAAGGAGGCATTTCTCCCAAAAGTATTAGCATAACTTATGCATATTCTCTTTAATCATCACAAGGCAAGATGTCACCATCAGCTGAAGTCAACATTTGTCACAAAAAAATTAATAACTTTGTCTTTCTGTTGTTTAAGACAATGATCAGTGATATGTAAAATTTTAAATTTTGATTGATCTTCAATGGTTTCCCAAGATTTCTTAAATTCTTTTACTCAGGAATGTTAGGACTGGATGTCGAAACAAAAATCTTTTGCCAGGCAGAACATAAAATTCTTTCCATTATATGATGTTGACAAGCAAAACAGAAAAGCTTCTTGTCTAGCAACGATTCCAACTGTACACATGCACCATAATTCCATCCAGAATTTGATGTTGTGGTATCAAAAACTACCTTCCACCGAACCACAAGAGAATGGCTGGTGTTAGCCATAGTTGCACCAGCTCTATCAGTGATTACTGGAACCCCAAGTAGTTTACCTTCTTTACAGTTTGGAATCCCAGCTATAAGAACACCTAGCCGTTCAGCATCTTCTGGAACAATTTTTCCATCCTAATGTAATGTAAAATAATTAGAGGAAATAAATGTAGTTTTAATCTCATCCCCGTATTTTATTAGAAGTATTTTAGCCGCTGTTCTGCTCCTTGTTTTTGATAAAGTCACACACTGCAAATCAGCACCACCCTCTGAAATTATAGTTGCCATGAAAACTGTTCTTTTACCAGCTGATAAATTTAAGCATGATTTTTTTTTACTTTTGAATGGATTGCGTGGAAGAGTCAGTGTAATAACTGTTTTTATCAGGTTGGATGTTTTTTGGTTTCATAGCAGATTTAGGTGGGTTTTCAAAATCTTTATTTCAGAATTGTCTGAACTGTGTGTCATCTGCAGATTGCAAGTCTACTTCAGAACTTATAGTTTCAGGTTTTGTGCTTGTTGTTGCTGAAAGATTTTGTCTTCTTTTTTCTTCAGCCAATCTTCTTGTCATTTCAATTCTCTCTCTCTGTATTTTCTTTTTCTAATTTTCCTTTTGTATGCTAGGTCTTCTAATCCCAAAATAACTCGCTTCTGATCTCTAAATGCCATAAGAAATTCAATATCTTCTTTTTTCTGCTCACGAAGTTGATCAATTTCTATTTTGTTTTGAGCATCTTGGTGAGCAATATAAAAATAATTTTTCAAATAATCAACAAACAGTTTTTCTTTAGCTTCATTAGATTGACATCTTTTCTTCTTTTGAAGTGTTCTATAAGCACCATACAAATCCAAAATTTTTGCTTAAACCTTGTCTTTGTGTTAAACTGCAATTCCAGCTTTATCTTATAGATTTTGAACTTCTACAATAATCATGTTTGCTATAACACCATTACAGTTGACATGTTTAGCATATTTCATGGGTCCATTTTTATATAAAGAAAAAGAATTGCAGGACATTTCCCATTGATAGAACTCTTGATGGTAACAATTACGTTAATAGTTTTCCTAATAACCAGATATCAATGTCTTTTCTTAAAACCAGGCTATCCATAATTAAGTTAAAGCGATGAGTAGCGTAAGTAGTAACCAAATTCTTTTATGTAAATTTTTTATTCGTTCTTTTTATGTAAATTTTAGCTGAAAAAATCGTTAACTTTTAACTACTTTTAAGTAAATAGTTAAAAGTGAAAAAACAATTTTATACTATTTAAATTAATTTGTTCTTTAGAAGTAAATTTTAACTAACAACAAAAAAACCTTTTACTTTCGTTATTAAATATTCTTATATCATTAAGTTTTTGTATATATTACTTACAGTGGGTGCTCATATTATTACAATTTTGGCAGTTATACCTGTGTTGTTGTCGCCTGAAGTGCTGTTTGTGTATTGCTCTCTTTTTAAAGTTTTCAAAGATTTTTTTATTGTTTTGTTATTGAGTTCTATTTATGTGTCTATTTTTTACAGTTAAACATGATTAAATCAATATTTTTACATATAACTTGAGTTCTATAACGGTTTACTAGAATCACGTGTTTTTTTCAATATGGGAAAGGCAAAAGATGTTTCACCCTCAAAAAAAAGAGAAGTTGGAGCATTATTGAAGAATACTTCTTATTCTCAAAGGTGTATAGCATCAATGACAAAGGTTTCAGTGGCAACAGTCAACCGAATAAAAAAAATCTGGACAAAAATGCTGATTATACTCATCAAGAAACAGGACATTGTGGTAGAAAACGGCTAACAACGATAAGAGACGATAGAAAAATACGAGATATTTGCCTAGAAAATAGGAATAAGCCTAGGCGAATACTAACCACTTTAATACAAGATGCTGGAATACCAGTATCTCCAATGACAGTTTGTCGCCGACTCAAAGAACAAAGATTTCGATGCTGTCGACCTGCTAAAAAGCCTAAGCTCACTCTAGCAATGCAACAAAAACGTCTTGCTTGGGCTAAAAGTCATCGGCATTTGACCATCGATGACTGGAAAAATGTACTTCATTTATAATTGTACACATTCCATTTAGAGATTTGCCTACATTAAAACTTTGACTTATAAGTTTTTTTGATATTGTTTAGGTATGTTTCTCGGATGAATCGACAATCCAGATATTGATGAACAAATCACAGTTTGTGCATAGACGAGCTGGAGAAAAATTCCACAAAGACTGCATCTTAGAACGTGTAAAGCATCTTCTAAGTATAATGGTATAGTCTGTCATTAGTGGACACGGAACAGAGCGCTTATATATCGTTGAGGGAACTATGCGCCAGGACCAATACATAAAAGTTCTTGACACAAGATTGGTACCACAGTCGAAGGAATGGTTCCCAAAGAACCAAAAATTTACATTTATGCATGATTCTGACCCATGCCATAAAGCAAAGAAGATTACAAAGTACCTAAAAGCAAAGAAAATTCCAGTGCTACCATGGCCTGGAAACTCACCAGATTTAAACCCTCTTGAAAATCTGCGGGAGATCATGAAAAGGGAAATTGCTTCTGAAATGATCACCAACAAAACACAATTAATTGAAAAGATGATCAAAGTCTGGCACAATAACATAGATATTCAAAATAATGCAATAAAATGCATAGAAAGTATGCCAAGACGTGTAGAAGCGGTAATAAGTGCCAAGGGAGGGATAACAAAATACTAAAATAAATCACTAATATGTAATCTTTTGCTTGTACAATAGTGGAATTATTTAAAAAAATATATAAATAAGTATGTTTTTTATAACACTCAAAAAATACGAAAAAATAGTCTGCAACCTTTTTATTTCTATAATAAATAACCTTTAACACATAATTTTCAAAAAAAAGACAGTGTTTCTAATAATATGAGCACCCACTGTACATAAAATATATGATTTTAAATTTTATTTATTGCATTTATAATAGAAATAAGTAACCGCTAAAAATGTAAAGCCCTAACCCATGTATATTGAGGTATTTACAAATTTATTTCTATTATTTTTCTCTAATTAAACATAATTACTGAACATTAACTAATAATTTAATTTTTAAACAATTTAACGCAACTTAATTTTGTTCTAATAAATAGTAGAAAAAATAAAACAAACTTCAACGCCTTACATGTTAACACATTATTACATTAGATAGTTAAAAAGTCATCACAAATATGTGACTGAAAAAAGTCGTCTTCTTTAGGGGGAAAAACAAAAAATCTAACTTTGGATGTAAAAATCTTTCTTCTTTTAGAACTATTGAATTAATGAAAAGAAAAAAAAAAGAAAAGAAAATTGAGTCACATTCAGGCAACTTAATTGCATCAAAATAAAATATCCAGTAGCCCTTCAAAAGATTTGAGTAATCTACATGAAATGTTAGACTTTATAAAGTGACCTATACCACTCATTTCCACTTCCTGGAAAAAAATTTCGGTCACTTTATATTTTTTATTTTTTGGAAAGGAATAATGGAATTATTATCTTTATGTTGTATTATAAACTTACTTAAACATGCTTGATTGTAAAATTTGTATTTTTTATATAGATAGATATTTTTTATATATTATAAAAGGAAATGCTCGTCTTAGTAAATTACAAAATGTTAAGATAATTTATTGCTGTTGTGATGTTTGTATATGTAAACATATTCTTTTTTTATATAGAATTTCCATGATTTCAATTAAAATAAAACCAATGTTTTTTGCACTAAAAATACAACTGATTGATGTTGCCTAAAGCTTGATTCCTAGCAGCAACTATCAGTTATGTATATTTTTTATTAATCAGCCATATTTTATTTGAATTAAACAAATGATAGTTGTTGCCAAAATTTAGAAGTTTTAAGCACCGTCTAAGAATTATGTTTTTTTATTGGTTCAGTTATGTATAATATGTTACCTGCAAGTTACCTTTATTTATTTAAAAAGATTCTGAAGGGTTATAAGGTTTGTTTGTATCATCTGAATTTATTTTAGATCAAATCTGGTAGTTGCCATTAGAGTTTGTATTATAAGCTATCATTGAAAAGTATTTGATAGTTTATGTTTAACAGGTTCTTACCTCAATAGAATCTTTTGCTAGAGTATTTATTCATTAAATTTTAATGGTATAATTAGCAGTAGTAAGTAAAAAATTTCTTGTAATAACATTTTGAAGATGGCTTCATCTGAATCTGTTATTGATCTAAAGATGTGGATTGTGCTCAGTAGGTATGTTTTAAAAATTTAAAAAATTTTAAAAAACCTTTGCATATTTCCTTGTGGAATTATATTGCCAGTGCTATAGCCCTGGGCCCCATAGTTTTGGAGGCTTGATAGAAAAATATATTTTTTAAAGAAACTCTAAAAATAAAATAAAAAACTTTAGGCCTTATTTAAAAAAACCCTGAGCCCTAAAAAGTCTTAATCCACTACTGTACATTATATTTTAAATGTAATCCAGGAATAAAAAGGTGCAAGAAAAAGCAGTCTGCTAGTTGATGGTGTATTTTTTTGTCGTATGCCTTTAATCGTTCTGTATAAAAAATTGTACACATGAACAGGAAGGAACCTTGACATGGTTCATGTGCTTTCAACAAATATCTTCCAGTTAGGTCCTCTTTCAACCTTTATACTTTAGAGGTGGTGCATCAGTGTATATTCTGAATTTAGTTCATACTCAATAAAAAAAAAATTTAAAATTTATTCCCAAAACCCTAATTGACTATGCTATTTTTGTTCATTAAACCCAAATTAATTGTGCTATTTGTGTTCATTAAACCCTAATTAACTGTGCTATTTGTGTTCATTAAACCTTAATTAAGTGTGCTATTTGTATTCATTAAACCCTAACTGACTGTGCTATTTATGTTTAGAGAGTAGTAATATTCAAGAATCTTTTTAAAATTAATTTTGAGTATTAAAATTGTTTTATTTACTTTAAGTAGAGTAAATTGTGGATTTCAAGAATGAGATATAGGTGTTAATTTCAATTCAATTTAAATCTATGGATATTTTTATAGAAAAGATGATGACCCAAACTTAGTCATAAAACTCACGACTTGTAAAAAACTTGTAACCCCTTCAAATTGAGGGGAATTCAAGTTTTACATGATATGATCATTTAAAATTTAAATCCCCCTCTATTTAAATCTTTGAACACTGAGAGATTATACTATGAAATTTAAAATTTATTGATGAATATAACTTTAATTAAGAGTAATAAAATTAATTTTTCAACTTATTGCTCTCATGTTTGGGGTAGTTATGACCAAAACGTAAGGGCTTTTTTGTTCACAGGCTCCAATCATCACAATTTTTTGCAAAGCATCCTTATTTGACATAAATATAATCATATGAATGTTTAAAGTTTGTTCCATGTCTGAAAGTTAGTTATCTCAAGTAATGAAAAAAACTAGATCCGCCCTTGAAATGTGTGTATATATATATATATATATATATATATATATATATATATATATATATATATATATATATATATATATATATATATATATATATATATATATATATATATATATAGAAAGTAAAAAATAATTCTTTTGACAAAAAAATATGTTACTTTTAATTTCAACTTTCGCACAACACCTCCATGTTGTCTAAAAGTTAAAACTAATAAATTAATTGCAAAATACATGTTTTTTAAATTACCATAAAAATGCATTTTTATGGTAATTTAAAAAACTTCATTGACTAGAATTTTTTATTTTTTTAACATAGAGTGTATTTGTTTTTTTTTTAATTTTCTAAATTTTATTATTTTTTTATCTTATTTAATTTTCTTTTTAGTGTACATACATCAACTGACAAATAAGCAGAATATGTGAGGAGTGCTGCTATATTAACCCAGGGTTTCAAAACCTGCTGCTATATACACACATGCATACATACATACATACATACATACATACATACATACATACATACATACATACATACATATATATATATATATATATATATATATATATATATATATATATATATATATATATATATATATATATATATATATAGTAAAAAATAAAACTACGTGATTTTTACAACTTTAAGTTTCATGCTGTTGCAATTATCAGGTGAAATACAAATATAGTTTGTTCATTTAAAAAATTATATACAATTGAAACTATACAGAAAAAATCTATACAGAAAAAACTTTTTTTGATTGTTACGACCGCGTCTATCTAATCTTCAGGTTTGTGGTTGCTCAATAGAAATTTATTTTCGTGACGACACTTAGAGATCAACTCTGTTTTTTTTTTAAGTAGTACTTCAGCATTTTTATGAAGCAAAATAATCAGTTTTTCATATAAACATAGTAAACATTTTTTTGTTTCATTGTTGTAGGCAGGGGCTTTTTTTAGGATAGACCAAGTTAATTCTGGTGTTTCTTTCAGTTTTTTTCTAGTTTCCCATATATGTTTTGAGAGAGTGGTTGCATTTGAAAGTTTCTTATTTGAAAATGATTGCTTGTGGTTTGCATACCTCTTTTTCCACACTCCTTCTAATAAATCAATGTATGCTTTGCTGGGAGTGTTTGAGGAAGATGTTATACATTTGTAAATGATGTTTGTCGCTCTACAATTTTTATTCAGCGGGCAGATTTCTTTTTGCTTGTAATTGCAAGGAAGATTTTCAGTAGTGTTAATTAAATTTTTTTTTTTTTTTGTGGCTTTTTATAATTTTTGAAATGTTGTTTGAGCAGCTGTAGCTAATTTTTGTAGTGTTTCGATTGAATAGTTTATGTAATGGATTTAAAGGTGGGAAATGCTTATCTATTAATTGCAAAAAGATTTGGCCAACATTGGTGGAAACGCTTTTATTGTAGGGTGGGTTAAACCAAATTATATTCCTTTTTCTTTTGGGAGATGCCTTATTTTTTGGGTTGTACTTTAAGTTAAAGTTTTTAAAACCGTTTTGTTTAAGTGCTTCTTCGCATTCTGTTTCTGAAGCGTTAAATATTTTTTCATTGGAAGAATTTTGCGATAATCGATCATTAATGGAGAGAGGGATCTGCTTAAGAACTTGGGGCGGGTGGTTTAATTCGGTGTGGATGTAGAGCAGTTGGTCATTTTGTTTTTAAAAAGGTTGGTAGGAGTTTTTTTGAAGATTAAAAGTTACGTCAAGAAAATTAACACTGTTTAAATTGGTTTGAATCTCTATTTGAAATCCGATCTTTTTAAATATCTCAATTATATTTTTTCTGACTTTGTCTAACTGTGCGTTAGTTTTTTTGCGCATCACCATCAATCTGTCGTCTCAGTAAAGACCTATATCATTTTTAGTAATGGTTTTGGATAAAGAGTCTAGAATGTATAAACCCACCAGTTCGCATACATCGGCTCCATCAAAACAACCCATTGTGACGTCAAAACAATCATTATACGTCTTTTTTATCCATGTTTCCTTTTTAAAAAATAATAGTGATTTTTTGCAATGATTTATGACTCCAATTTTTTCACTGCTGATTTCAGTGTGCTGTTTTGCAAATATTAAAGAGCTGTTTAGTATGTCTTTTGTGATGGATGGGTAAAATTCATTGATGTCGAGTTGTATAAATACACAGTGTTGCTTGTCGCTTATGTTTGTAAACCATTTGATTACTTCTGCGGTGTTTTTCCATTGGTTTAGTTTTAATTTATTTTTTAAGTCCTTGTTGATTTTATCTAGGTATGTTTTGCTGACAACACCGAGTTCACTTTTTGCTGGATTTAATAAGTGGCAAGATTTTTGATTTTCAAAGTTGTTTTTGTGGTTTTTTAATGTAATGAATGCTTCTGATTTGGCAATTGTATTGATTTGTTTGTTTATATTTAGTTTAGTTGCTATGCTTTTTGCCTCGAGGTTGATTGAATTTTCTAGTTTTTTAGGAGCTTTTTTGTATGTTTTGATGATGCTTTCTTTCAATAATTTGGAGTAATCTTTGGGGGGTAATTGGTAAATGTTGTTGGTTTTGTCTGCAAATATTAGGATGTTTGGGTTAGATTTAATTTTTGAAACGTCGTCCTTTAATTTTTTTTGAAATTGGCTTTGGGATTTCTTAAACTTTATTGATTTTACCAAGTTAAATAGTTTTATAGTTTTGTCTCAAAGTTTTCTAATTCTTTGCATTGTGGGGGTGTTTTTATCGTTTTTAAACCAAAATTTTCTTGTGTACTTGTTTCGGTTTTGTTCATGTGAAAATCACGTAATTTTATTTTTTACTATATATATATATATATATATATAATATATATATATATATATATATATATATATATATATATATATATCTGCAGCACTGCCTTAATATATTTTGCAGACTTTAGTTTTTAAAATGTCAACTTCATTACAGGCAGTTTTTTCAAAAAACAAAGAATAATAAAAGAAAGTTTAAAAAGCTTAAAAAATAATCATCAACTAACTTGTGGCACTATCTTAAGTCTGCCATTATGATTCATTATTGAGTCCAAAACTTCTTTTGGGACATCTTTTGAAACTAACTCTTCAATAACAAGTATTTGTAAGTCACGATTATTAGAAACAAATAACTCAGATAGTAAGCTCCAAACTTTGGAGCAGGACTCAATAGACTCACTGTATTCTTGCACTTTTATAAGATAAGAAAAAAGCTTGAATAAAAATAGAGTATGACCAGGTTTTTCCGCTAATGAAATTAATGAACGAATGGTATTTTGTACAACCAAGATGATATTATGAAATTCATAACCTATAAAAATAATGCAAATCCTTTTAAAACAATTCCTCTTAAACTGTTACTCCAAAACATGAATCTAAATCTTTGTTTTTTAGCTTTAACTTTTTACCAAGAAACGTTTCAAATCAAATAGACTAACCTTTTTCAAAAACGTTGAATACTTTTATAAGAATTTCAATGTATGACATTTTGCAAATTAGAGAAAAATTTCCTTTAAGAACCCATAAAAGCTCATAAAATTCGTTAACTAATTTTTGAGGATTATTAAGTCTACTAAGCAGTTCTTCAATTTGAAGAAGAGAACCATGAATAAAGTTTTGGTCAATCTTTTTGCAATGCTCATGTTTCTTTATCTTTAAAACAATTTGTTTAACAATATCTTCTGCTTGTTCTGTTGGTACTAAAGGAACAAGAGCATAGGCTGCTATTTTACGTGTTTTATACACAGGACTTCTGCTGCACCTGAAACATGATCTTAAAATTATTTTATTGAGCACAATTAATTTACACACAAAGATATTTATATATATACATATATATAAATAAAGACAAATATATATATAAATATATATAAACACAAACATATAAATATATATATACATATGTATATTTATATATATATATATATATATATATATATATATATATATATATATATATATATATATATATATATATATATATATATATATATATATATATATATATATATATATATAGGCCTCGGCAGGAAGCGAGAGCTTTAGCTCTCGCTCTCGCCCACACTCCCCTAAAACAGTTTACAGGAGCAATTTACGGCTCTCGCAAAAGTATAATTTTTCTCATGAAGGTATCATTAAAATTACAAAAGAGTGCTAATTTAAATGAGGAGCAGCTCGCACAGCTCCCCAAATTTGTTTTAGGAGATCTTTTCTCAGCTCTCGTGCTCATTTGTTCCCGCCGACGCCTGTATATATATATATATATATATATATATATAAAGTATTATAACAAATTTATACTTTACATTATAATATATATATATATATATATATATATATATATATATATATATATATATATATATTTTATAAAGTAAAGTATAAAGCATAAGCAGCATAACAGCTTTATGAGAGAAATATTATAAGAAATATTGTAATATCAAAGTAATTTTAAGTGTATTAGTTAAAAATATATTAAAATATGAAAAGTTATATAAGTTTATTTAAAAAGAGTTAAAAGTTTAACAGCATAACAGCTGCATTTAATTTTTGCACTAAATTTTTCATTGTGATATTTTTTTAACCTGTATTCCACAGATCATTATCAGACATAAAATATAACTACAAAAAACTATTACAAATAATACATGATAATATTAAAGCCAAAATAAAAAAGTTAATTAATGATTACATAACAATATAAGTATAAAATTCAGCAAATATTATTAAATTCCATTTTCTTCAGATAATTTTTTTAAATTGAAACCTCCAGATATTTTTACATCACGGTTTAGAAGTATTAGAGCATGTTTTATTTCTTGGCATGTTGAGGCGTAATTGATTTTAAGTGATTCTACCACGTTATTACAATTAGAAACTTGGACTTGTTATCACATAAGATATTGCACTATCGCATAAGATATTATATACATAAATAACATACATGATCATAAAAGAAAAAAGTAGTCACAGTGTAAAATGTTTTAACACTTCGAATGGGCTCATATAGTAGACACTGCTTAACAGAAGATATCAAGGATTGAAACGTGAGTTTGTTGGCTGACAAAAGTCGACTTTGTATACTGCAAACTGCTTTATTTGTGCTTCATCTGAGAACTTAACATACTCACCATATTACAACTCACCATATTTCAACTGGCCAACCCTTGTGTTCTTTTCAAAACTTGAGGCAATGACAAATATTTTATTGAGAAAAGCATACTTCATAATATGATTAAAAATTCAGGTAAGGTTCTGAATTTTCGACAAGGCATCTTTAAACTGTGCAGGCAAAAACATTTATACAAGGAGGTAGTTATATAAGAATTTCTGAGCATGAAGTTTGTATGTTCTTAATAGCCAAAAGACATATCCTATTGTCAGTTTTTGGAGAGTTTTTTCACAGGATTTTCTTGGATTGATGCCATCTTTGGTGAGCTGTTTGATATCATGAACAGTTGTATAAGGCATTTTCAAACATGCAGCAATCATGCGTTCAGACTTGTTGTCTTTTATTAAAAGTTGTACTTGTGCAAGTTTAACAAGTGAAGATGTAGCCATACTTTAAGATAATAATGATTGGATTACACATAATTTTATTGTACAAAAAGCATACAATGATACTTTTTAAATGATTGATAACTAGGTAATCACCTACACAACGCATTATAGTTAGTTATCGGAGTCTTAAAAAGGACTTCCTATTCTATTAAAACATAATTACTACTTCTAGTAGCTTCAAATTCTATTAAAACATTATTACTACTTCTAGTTCTATTAAAAGTTGTACCTGTGCATGTTAACAAGTGATGATTTAGCCATACTCTAAGATAATCATGATTCAATTACATATGATTTTAAGGTATATAGAGCATATAAGATATTTTCCTATTGGTTGATATCTATATAATTACCTTAGCAAGAAGTGATTGTCTAGTGTGTTACCAACAAACATTTTGCAAAGAACTCTTTAATAATTGAGTGGTTGGATCTTTATGGTCATACCATATATATGTATATATATATATATATATATGTATATATATATATATATATATATATATATATATATATATATATATATATATATATATATATATATATATATATATATATATATATATATATGTATATATATATATATATATATATATATATATATATGATATATATATATATATATATATATATATGTATATATATATATATATATTATATAGTTAAAAATATATTAATATATGAAAAGTTATATAAGTTTATTTGAAAAGAGTTAAAAGTTTAAACAAAAAAATTGTCCGTACACTATGTTAATTTTTAAATTAAAATTAGTTTAAATTAAATTAATATCTTGTTGGACCACCATCAGCTTCAATAACTGCTCCACAACCATTTTTCATTGATGAGACAAGTTTAGACGTAATTTCTTGTTTAATTGATGACCAAACATCTAAAACCAATTTTTTGAGCTTGCTTTTATTCTTTGGAGCTCGATCTTTCATTCTTTTTTCCACCACTAACCATAAATGTTCTATAGGGTTCAAATCGGGCGATTGTGCAACCCAATCCAACACGTTAATGCCACTTGCAACAAGATATCTGGTTACAGACCCAGTTTTATGCTTTGGATCGTTGTCATGTTGGAATATAAATTCCGTTTCAAGTCCTAATTTTCGTGCCGAAGCCACCAAATTTCGTTCTAATATGAATCTATATAAGTGTTGATCCATTTTCTCATCAATAAATTTAATTTTGCACAGCCCCAAACCATAACATTTCCACCACCAAATTTAAATATTGCCTTCAAACACTTCACATTATATTCTTCTCTGACTTTTCTATAAACTTTTGCACCACCATCAGCTCCATATAATTTACTCTCGTCTGACCAAAAAATCATATTCCAGAACGTATCATCTTTCAGAACATGTTCCTTTGCCCACTGCAACCGATTTCTCTTGTTCACTATACTGATGAATGGTTTTCTTCGAGGCGTCCGTGCAAAAATATTGGCATCATGCAATCTGTTCCTTATTGTTTGTGGCGATAATTTATTATTTAATTCATTTTCCAGCTCTTTTGATACTTCTACGGCAATTTTTTTTCTATTCTGCTCGATTTTCCCAACTATGCACCTGTCAACTCTTGGCGTTTTAATCTTTTTCTGCCTAGTACACCATTATTTGCTACTGATTTTGTTTGTAAATACTTTTCCCATATATATTGAACAGTACTTGGTGGTATTTTAAACATTTCTGCAACTTGTCTAATTGATAATCCATTTTCCCTATTATAAATTACTCATTTACGTTAGTCAATACTACATTCTTTTCTTTTTTCTTCCATCATAGCCACGTAGTTAGGAAAAGGTTTATTTTTATTTATTATAGTATAATTTAACCTAAAAGTACAATATATTAATATAAAAATTTATAAACAAAATTTAACCTTTTAAATCAAATGTATGGACAATTTTTTTGTTTTAAAATTTATAAAATATTTAAATAAGTTAATTATAATTTAAAGTGTTGGGAGAAAATTAAAGATGGTGTATCGTTTTTATTTGTTCTCTTGTGCGCTATCTATTGGTTTAATTTATTTTTTTCTATCATTTAAAGTTTTAGAGCTTTTTTCAAAAAACCTTATTTTTCATTAATGTACAGACAATTATTTTGCCCACTGTATATATATATATATATATATATATATATATATATATATATATATATATATATATATATATATATATATATATATATATATATATATATATATATATATATATATATATATATATATATATATATATATATTAAGCATGGAACATAATGAGTGTTCTGTGGTCAAATAATGGCTTTAATTTTTTTTATGACCTTCCAAAATAAATTCGTTCTGGTAAAAGTTAACCAGCCCATGTTTTAAAAATAAAAAGGTTTCAAAATTAAAGCATTACAGATAGCCAGAAAAAAAAACTCATTTAAAAAATCATTTTGTTAGTTTTATCTTTACAGTAAAAAAAGCAAGTCTAATAATCGCCTAAAACAATTTGATTGTTTGTGAAACAAGTTTTTTTTCTTCTTAAAAATACAATCTTATTTGATTTATTTTTATGGCATAATTAATTGCTAAGAAAACTGACTTTTAACAATGTTTCCAAAACAGTATACTTTTTAGAAAACCAGCTTGGCTAACATAAAATGGTGCAATTTTTTTTTTCACTCTCTCAACTCTTTTTAACTTAAAATCTTTTGTTTCATTATTCTTTTTTTTTGTTTGTTTTCTGAAAATGTTGTACGTTATAAGAATTACAACATAAAAAAACAAATAAATAATACTACTAATAATAATGTTAACAATAAATAATAAAAATGATACAATAAAAATAATGATACAATAAAAACAATGATACAAATAAGAAATTACTTGTTTTTATAAACACAAAAGTTATATATACAATGTTAAAAAGTTACAAACAGTTAAAAAACTAATAAAACATAATAACTAATGATGGCATTAAACAGTTATTTAAATAGAAAACAAGAAGATAGGAAAAATTATTGTAAAATTAAAAATAATAAAAATTATAATAATAATAAAAATAACAATAACAAAAATGATTAAAAATAAGAATAAAAAAATATTAAAAATTGAATGAAACATTACTATCAAAAAATCAAAACTGACAAAAAACATAAAAATTAAATTAAAAAAAAAAAAGCTTTAAAAAATGTAAAAAATATTATATTGCTACATGTATACACAAACATAAATATAAACATGTACAGATATATGTACATATATACACATACATATATATATACATATACAGATATAAAGATAGACACACGCACACTCACACACACACAAACACAGACACGTGTATACACACATACAAATAGATTTGCAAACAGAAATACGCATACGCGCCTACATAGACTTACATACACTTATAGATACACATAGAAATGTACATACACATATAGATACACAGTTTTAAAAATATATACAACTTTAAAAATATCAGACTAACATTAAAAAAACTAAAAGAAAAAAAAATACAGGACAATACAACAATTGCACAAATAAACATGACAATATGAGCAATAGACAACAATGCCTGTTGAATAACATGATGCGAAAGTTATCAGACAAATCTGAATTTAATTGTGGAAGTTATCAGACAAATCTGAATTTAATTGACTCAAAATATTTTTTGTAAATAAACCTAATATATAAAAAAAAAAAAAGAAATCATAAATCATTTTGAAAAGGATTTTTGCATTTTGAAAAAGATTTTTGAAAAGGTTTGCTTAAAGTACAATATATGATAACTTAAAAAGACTTGAAACTGTTCAACCCTTCTCTAATAGAAAGCACTTTGGTTCTCCAACATCCTGGACTAGAGAAAAGTAAGCCAAATCAACGAGACTTGTTAAAAATCAAAAAGAAGTCAGTCAGAAAAAAATAGGTTTTAAATTTGGTGTAAATCAATTGAAAATTGGTTGTCAGTTAAAAATTGTTAAAATCAGTTAAAATGAATATTAAATATAGAAAATGTGAAAATACTCTAAAATACACTATAGAACAACAATTAAAGGCAAAGAAATAAAGCAGGAAAGTTAACCAACTCTATAGCACAAAATCACTTCTTGTTATCAATGACAAAAAATACTTTTGCTTTGCAGGGAACAACATGACTGGAAATTCTGGATACTACACAAACAACAAAAAAACATGCCCAGAAAGTGTTAGTTTTATAGAAAAAGAGAAATTTCCAAAAAAATGGATAGTCATATCTGACTGTGGCATGTCCGAGCCATTGTTTTGCACTTTCAAGTCTGTAGCAATTAATTCATCTATATTGATGAATGTTTAGAAAAACCACTTCTTCCATTCATTCACAAGCATCATAGAGACTTCTTCCATTCATTCACAAGCATCATAGAGACTTTAACTATTTATTTTGGACAGATTTAGCAAGTTCTTATTATTCTAAAGATTTTCTAAATTGGATCGACCAATATGTCTATTATGATGATAAAGAATCCAACCCCCTAAATGTGCCGCAAGCACAACCAATTAAAAACATTAGGGGACATTTAGCACAGAAGGTTTACGAGGGAGTTTGGAAAGCTTCAACAGAGCAAGTTTTGATTGATTGAATTAAATAAAAGCTACAAGGAATTGATTTAAATTTTTTTAAATCAAAAAAGGTGTAAAAACAAGATTGAGATCAATTGCAGATGGTGGTGTTTTTTATTTAAAAAATAACATTTTTTTTAAAAAGATAAATACTTTATTTAAAAAAAATATAATAATATTTTTTTTTCATTTATAATTAAGTTGATGACAATTTTAATTTCAGATAACTTACGCATCACCTGTTACAATACACAAAATAAGAATACGCAAGAATGCCTGAAAATGAAAAACAAAAAAACAATAAACAATGCAAACAGCACACAAAAATACATAACAAAATAAACTTATCTAAAAAAATACATATATATATATATATATATATATATATATATATATATATATATATATATATATATATATATATATATATATATATATATATATATATATATTTATATATATATATTTATATATATATATATATATATATATATATATATATATATATATATATATATATATATATATATATATATACATATATATATATATATATATATATATATATATATATATATATATATATATATATATATATATATGTGTGTATATATATACAACAACAAAAAATTTTTTGTATATATATATACAAAAAAATTTTTTTAAATAAATAAAAAGATATTTTAAATTATAATAATAAAATTAAAATCAAATGAAAATTATAATTAGAAAGTTACAAACCGAATGACATAAGGAATAAATACAGTAAGCTTCATAATTGCTTCAGAACCTTCTAATGTTGATGGATAAAGATGAGATAGAAGTAACAACAAAGGAAACATGGTTGCATTAGGATTTGATGGATTAATTACTGTGCTTTCGCTAATTGTTTTAGCTTTATCAAACAAAAATGGATACAGTGAAGGAAATCTTGTAAAAAATTCACGACCTGTCATTTTAGATTTTTTAACCCCAAATATTCTCTGCATCAATGAACTGAATAACAGTGTGCAAGAATTGCGAATGGCCCAGCAGGAAGAAGAAAAACCTTGAATTGCAATAATTACACCACTAGCAACATATGGATATATTTCCTCAGCCAATTTCGTGTCTTTATAAAAAGATCTTAAGATATTCACTGCGACAACAAAATTATTGACATCAATACAAACTTTATGTAAACATGATTCAGTAAGTAAACCCATCAGAAACTTTAATGTAAAATTTGCATTAATTGCTGGCTCTGTGATGCATATTGCTTGTAAAAAAAATGGTATTCCTGCACTGCGCCTTGTTACCTGCGTTGTTTCATTGTTAAAAGATTGTGAAACTAAGTCATTAATCAACGATGTTAATCCATTTTTGGGAATGCAGTGTAAATCTGAATCTTTGTGGTTCCATAAAACTGAGCAAAGTTCTATGAACCCTAAACTAGCTAGTTCATAAGCCCCCGCATGCTTAGAACGCAAAAGAATATCGCAGAACATATTCCAAATTTTATTCACTGTTTCTTTAGTAAGAAATTGAGCACTAGTTACTTGAGATTTTTCAGAAAAGTTAGAAACAATTACTCCTAGTAAAAGTGAAACTTCTTTCATTGACCTCCAGCAGCAAACAAGTATCATTCGAGCAACCTGTGATTGAAGTTCAACACTTTGAAAATCTTCTAGTCTTATCTGCTGGAATACTTCAACAAGGCTTACATCACACAAATGACCCTCTGGCGCTTCGCTTGTTACATACGGTGAAACAAGAGAAATTATTTCCAAACAAACTTCAATTAAGTCTTCTAAAAACTTTGAAAAATATTTAATATTTGCAGTAATAATCATATGATTGGAGCTCCAGTTATTGAATTGAAAGAGTAACCTCAAAGTGTAAAGGGTACCATAAAGTGGGGCATTTTGAGATCCTTTTATTAAACTTGATTTCATTATATTCAATTGTTTCTTAAGTTCAAATAACAGTAAGTGCGCAAACAATATTGGTTTAGATAAAAAAATTTCACTTAAAACTGTTTCTGCATTAAAAAATTCTGTTAAATGTTCTGTCTTTACTTCATTCTGTAAAATTGATACAATGTCAATTAGATCTGGATCCAGAGCAATATATGTTAAATAATATGCTGCTACTGAAGCACTATCAGGTTGAGCACTATATATTTTCATAATAGAATCTTTAAACATTTCAACAACTTTATTAGATGAAGGTGTACATACAAAAACAGGTTTCTTTAATATTATATCAAATGCCAACATTCGATTAGGGTCATAAGTATCTTCAAAGCATTTTAAAAGAATGTTTGTAAAATTTATTCTTTCCTCTTCAGTGATTTTGAGTTCATTCAAAAGATATGATGTTTTATTTTCATTAAAAACATTTGTTAACAAAGATAAAAGTTGTAAAGACAAGGAAATTTGACAGTAAGGTGCAGAAGCATATAGCTTATGTATAATAAAGTTTACAAACCAATAGAAAAATTCTAAATAAACATGAACAAAATTACTGCTCAACCAATTGTTTTTTTCTTTATATGCATGGGCAAAGATACGCAAAAACAGTTTCTTAAATTCAGTAATCACTTGATGTCGAAACGAAGCATCTTCAACTGCCATATTAAAATGAAGAAAATGTTGCAAGAGTAAAATATCATAGCTTGTCACTGGGTCTGTACTTTTAGATGTGTTGCATATTAATGACAAAGTATCTAATCTCACCTGTAAAATTAATAAAGTATAATAAAAATATTTACAATATATAAAACTTTAATAATTGTAACAAATATATTAATTTATAATAACAAAATAATTTTATAATATATATATATATATATATATATATATATATATATATATATATATATATATATATATATTATATATATATATATACTAGATAATATATAATATATATATATATATATATATATATATATATATATAATATATATATATATATATATATATATATATATATATATATATATATATATATATATATATATATATATATTATATATATATATATTATATATATATATATATATATATATACAACTTTATAATATAGTTGACCTGTTGATCAAGATGAGTCAAGCACATTTTCATATCAGATAAATTCAGCAGATTTTTCCACATTCCGTCTACTTCTTTAAAATCTGTAAAAACATTTGAAAAATCGTTTGAAGTATTTTTCATAGAACGAGCGGATTTTAAAAATATAAGAGAAGTTCGAATACAAGACCAAGTCATTTTATTTTTCATATCATTTATGAAATATTTAAGTAACAGTGGATATGTGCTTAATAGATTGGGAATTATATATTCAACAATATTAGCCTTAATTTCTTTATTTTCACCAATCATATGTTCATAAATATTTTCTGTCCATAGATGAATCCATCTATTTATTTCACGACACTCTGACAAGTGTTTTTCGGATAAAACTTTATAAAGATTGCAAGCATGTGATGAGAGATCAACATCAGTCAACAAACTCATTACTTTTTTTGGTAAATTATTTTCCAGTTCAAGCATTTCCTCAACCCGAATATATTGAACAAGCAAAATCATTATACAAATTTTTCCTCGTGACTGTAAGTCTATATTTAAAAGGTTTTTCATGAATGTAATAATATAATCAAAATGATTACTAATAGAGAGCAACTGAAATGATTTTTTTATACTATCAACAATACTATGTCTAACTGTATCAATATGATGATCAACATAAACCATTAAATGTGGAAGAACATTTTGCAACAATAAATCTAATGGTACATCTATGGGAGGTAATCTCATCGCTATATCTATCCATGTATTTATTGTCTTGAATGCTAATATTATAACAGACTTTTCCACAAGAGACTCGCAAATCTTTATTAGTTGAAGTATAAAAAAGCCTTTGAACAGTGTTAAGCAATCACCATCAATTAACTTGCTAACAAGAATGTTTGTAGGTAATTTTGTTAGTAATGCATTTAAAAGAACCAACTCAACTGATGGTTTGTTTAATTGCAGAAATAAAGAATCAAATTCTAAACTATGAAAACATTCAACACTGAGGTTTTTGTGTAAACCAGCATGTAAAGCAAGTAAAAATTCTATGACAAGGTTTTTTTTTAACAAAATTGTAACCATAACCATTGCAGCTGAAGCACGACAGTCTAGAACTATGACTTCATTAATAACTGCATCAATAGAGATTTTCAATAAAAATTTAAACGTTTCATCAACTTCTTTATTAATGTCCTTCTCCATATCTCCGCACTTGTTTAATGCTAAAAGTATTGTCTTGAAAGTGACATGAATGTGATTTAAAATATCAGTTTGATGCATTGGATTGCTGGAAACCCTAAATTAAAATTATTTTAAAATATGAAACATAATTTTTAATAACAAAACATATAAAAACATTTTTTTTAATTTTAATTCACCTTCCCAAGACCATGAAGGCCACTACAGTTGAGGAAGCTACTTTATTTGTGGTTACAACCCTCTCTTAACTCTATAACTCTGAAACACAAACCTTGATAAACAAGGCCGATGCACGGAGAAACAAGTTGAATGGTACTATCAAGGATGTGGTAGGAACTTATAACTTATGAGACAAGTGCTCTACCACTACCGTAAAATACGCAAGTATCAGATACAAAAATTAATTACTTTTTTGTAATTTGAATTTCTGTGTCATAAATTTGAATTTCAGTGCAATAAATTTAAATTTCATTGCAATAAATTTAAATTTCATTGCAATAAATTTAAATTTCATTGCAATAAATTTAAATTTCATTGCAATAAATTTAAATTTCATTGCAATAAATTTAAATTTCATTGCAATAAATTTAAATTTCATTGCAATAAATTTAAATTACATTGCAATAAATTTAAATTCCATTGCAATAAATTGCATGAAGTAGAAAGCATTTTACTTATCTTTAATACCTTTTTTTATTTGCAAAGTCTTTAATGCCTTTTTTTATCAGATACAAAAATTGTGTTAATAAGTATCAGATACAAAAATTGTGTTAATAAGTATCAGATACAAAAATTAATTACTTTTTTGTAATTTGAATTTCTGTGCCATCAATTTGAATTTCAGTGCAATAAATTTAAATTTCAGTGCATTAAATTTAAATTTCATTGCAATAAATTTAAATTTCATTGCAATAAATTTAAATTTCATTGCAATAAATTTAAATTTCATTGCAATAAATTTAAATTTCATTGCAATAAATTTAAATTTCATTGCAATAAATTGCATGAAGTAGAAAGCATTTTGTTTGTGACACACAACACTTGTTTGTGATTTTATTTTGAGTACTTGACTAATACTTTTTTAATTGGTACAAAATTTGTTGATATGGTGAAGTCTAATTATGTCATGTCATGTGATACAAAACATAAAAATTCATGACACCTATCATTTTTTAAATCTTTATCAATCTTTATAAATCTTAACTCATATTAACAGATATTAATAAGCAAAAGATACTTAGTTCAAACCAACCCTACCTTTGGAACCTACCCTACCTAAATTATTTTGTTTATCTGTGAAGCGGCCTTGTTCACTTATGTTTTGGAATTGAAGTTTAGTAAAGGGGTTGTAACAAGAATTTAAAAAAAAAAGTAGATTCTTTGACTGTAGTGATCCCCTCAGCGTTGGATAAGTAAATACAGTGAAGGGGAAAAAACAATAATAATAAAATACTTCAATAAATAATGATAGACAATTTATTTATTATTATAATATATTTGTATAAATTATGTTTAATTTAGATTTATTTTTATTTTACTCTAAAATTTTATGCAAATAAAAATCTCTATACAAATAATTACCTGAATAAATTTTGAAACTTTATTAAGCTGTCTTTTAAATAAGCAAATACTAAATAATTAAACAAATATTTATATTAAAATATAAAAAAATTTAAATTAAAAGTTTCAATCAGAAAACTTTACTAATCCCGTAATCTTCTTATCTTATTACCTTACTAATAATAAAAACTTAAAAAGGTAAAAAAATCTTTTTTTTTAACACTTTAACATTTATTACTTATATTTAATCTTTTTTTTTTTGAACAAAATTAGTTCATAGTAATAAAAAAAAACTTTCACCTAAAGAAAAGATGCAAAATAACAAACTATCTTATTTTATTTTAAAAGTTTTTTTAGTAACATAATACATGATAAAACAGATATAGTAATAAAAAATAAAATCAAACATTATAAACCTTCTATTGTTTTCTCTGCTTTTATCTATTAAAGCATTAATTAATTTATTTTAAAGTTATAGTTTAAAAAGGCTAATCATGAAATATATACGTTTATTTGACAAAAGTATAAATATAAAGTTAAATATTATTTAAAACAAAATCTCGAAAAGAAATTAAACTGTTATAAATACTTTATTTAAAGTCATTTGTGAACTTACCTAGAAGAGAATTCTTTTGGACAAGTTTATCACCTGAAATATTGTCTTACAAATACATATTTTATAGAGATAAACTTTGAAGAAAAAGTTTAAAATATAAAACATATTTAAAAAAAATTGAATTATAAAAGTTTACCAAGTGGAAAGTTTTCCATTAATGCAGAAATTAACTCAATCATATTCCTTATATGGTTAGTACTATCATTCTAAAGATAATTATTTGGCATTAAACAATTAATAAATTAAAAAAGATTGTTATTTGACATAAACAATTAGCTTCAAAAACAAATAAAATACATTATGTAAAACATATTTTGTAAAACAATACATATATATATACATATATATATATATATATATATATATATATATATATATATATATATATATATATATATATATATAATATATATATATATATATATCAGTCTTCTCCATTTGAAATTTAATGCCAGCGCACGAAAAAGCGCTGGCAGGATGGTTATTTTTAAGTTAGCATGCGCAATTTGAAAAATTCATTTTTATCTACTATTTAAATTAAAATAAAAATAGTGAAAAGAATGCTTTGAATAAATGCTATATAAAATTAAAAAAATTAAAACTGGTAAAAAAAAAACATAATTCATAAAAGTTAAACAAATAAACAAATAAGTTTGGTTGCAATTTAATTTATGAAAAAGAAAATCAAGTAAAAATAGTACTTCTTTAAAGTTGAGATAAGTTCTTAGTAATGCAGCCATTATATCAAAAATACATGCATTCTGTTCATCAAACAATTGAAACATACTAAAAAAAAAAAAAAATTAATATATAGAAAGTAAAATAGCCTTCTGTTAATTCAAACATTTCAAACATTTTTTAATGATATTTTATAAAATTATGTTTGGAAAAGCAGCTAAGCATAACTTTAAATCCTAAAGCTTAAAAAAACTTTAGGATCTTAACGCTATTTAAGCGTGCTAAATAAGAACATACAGCCATTATATTAAGCTGACCTTTCTTTCAAATTTTAATTTGACAAGTGTTTTGTATGCATGAAATAGAATATACTATTGCAAAATGATCTAACCTTCCTTTAATTAGATTTTAGCTTGGAAATTCAACTGAATGCAACAATTTCTACTACCAATACTATAGAATCAGCAAACCTATCAACAACATTTTCATACTCTAACAAATTGTAGACATTTTTTTTTATTTGTAGACAACCTTACAAGAAATGTTAACCATATACTTACTACTGGGATGTCAATGGTGTGGTCACTTACTACTGGGATGTCAATGGTGTGGTCACTTACTACTGGGATGTCAATGGTGTGGTCACTTACTACTGGGATGTCAATGGTGTGGTCACTTACTACTGGGATGTCAATGGTGTGGTCACTTACTACTGGGATGTCAATGGTGTGGTCACTTACTACTGGGATGTCAATGGTGTGGTCACTTACTACTGGGATGTCAATGGTGTGGTCACTTACTACTGGGACGTCAATGGTGTGGTCTATGTGTGACTATTATGCTTATACCACTGAAAATAATATTAAATATAAACAAACTATGTTTAACAAACTATAAATCACACTATGTTTGAGTGTGAAAGTTTGACGTAGACCATAAGATAAGATCTATGCAAAACTTATATACTATAATGCTACTGTGGTCGATGTTACTGTGATCGATGTGCGGTTATAATGCTTATACTGCTCAAAACCACGCTAAAAAGAACAAACACCACACTATATTCCTACAGAATAGTTTCACACTGGGTATGTGTGAAAGAAACATATTTAAACAAGTTTAATGACTTGTTTACATATGTATACTTATTTTTATCCGAATGCATATACATAGTACCAGAAATGCTTAGTGCCACATACCAGTTGAAAAAGCTTGTATGAGGCACTATGCATTCCTATTTTTTTTTTTAAATAAAGCAAAAAAAATTTTTTGTTTTATTTCAAGACTTTAGAAAATATACATATATACATACAACAACTTTTCTTAAAATTTATAATTTATTTGTACTGCAATCTTTTTATACACCACCACAATCCAATGAATTGAGCAAATAAGCATAATTCATTGGATCGTGGTGGATAAAAAAAATTTACTTATTAAACTAGCTAAAATATTTTATTATGAAATCTATTCATAAATAAAATGGAGAGAAAAAATTGATTTGAATGGAAGTTTGCTTACATTACTTGTCACTTAAGAATTTTTTTTTTCCCATTCTACTTTATATTGCTTCCTTGCAAACAACTTTTTCTCTAAATAAAGCTGGTTCTCTAAATAAAACAACTTTTTCTCTAAATAAAGCTGGTATTTACAAATTTTAGTGGAATTTATGTTGGATAAAATTCTCAAAAATATTCATTACAAAACTGACTAAAATATATCATATTAACATAAATTACAGTGCAATGTCATGATATATTCCAGTATTTTACACAAGAGAATGATAAATTACTGCTTTTAAATTTAAAATGTAGTTAAAATTTAAAATACAGCAAAATCATGTGTTTTATATGTATAGTCTATATGATAGCCACATCTAATTTATTCATGTATTTTATTATCGGGAATTTTGATTTTATGAGGATTTGAGAATACTGCCGTAATCTCAAATCCTCATAAAATCAAAATTCCCGATTTAAAGGTGAAAAAATCTTATTCTCCAAATAAAGTTTGCCAAATTAAAGTTTAATAATAATTCTAAAAATTATTGAAAATGATTTATTAAAAACTAATAGAAAAGTAACATAAAAAACTCTAATTTATTGTGTAAAACTTAAAATAATATCACCATTATTGGTATAATTACATGATTGTATAACTGCTGAAATGTTGCTTAGAAAAAACTTTTTAAGAACTTTCCCATCAATTTTACAGATTTTCTTGGCAACTTGCACATCAAATTCATTTCTCAAAATTTGCAAATAATTTTTTGCAATGCATTCCAACAACAGTAAATATTATGTTAAAAAGTTAGCAAGAAATAAAGTACACTCTAAAAAAATAACATATTTGTTTGGTTTAACACCCACAAATGTTATTTCTTTAAAAATTTTGCCCTTTTTGGCTTAAAAGTTAAATAACTTATTAAGTCTTACTGCAAACTCTACTTCAAGTAGTACATTTGCTTTGTCAACAAAAGTATCCAGAAGCAATTTATGTAAGATACTTTCGAAATTTTGATCAATTACAGATATTTCGGTAAGTCTTTTAGTTATTGTTTTTCTTTTTTTGTTTTGGGCCATTCATAAAGTATGTACTAAGGAATGGGGGGAGAGGGGGTTTCCCAAAAGTGTACAAATGCATACAAGAGGGGCAGGGGGTATTAAAGATAGTGAGTACGCACACAGTTTGACTATCTCTTCTAAACTTGATTTTATTTTTTTTAAAACATTGAATTTCACATATTTAATAAATCAGAATTGTGTTTTTTTTCTGACTTCAGTCACAATGTTTGTTTTTTTTAATTTCTTTATAAATATTGAGGAGAGAAAAAATAAATCAAGTTTATTAAAAAAAAAAAATGTGTACGTACGCATAGGGGGGGGGGGGTAGAGGGTAAATCTTCAAAAGCATACAGGTTCGTACAAGGGGGAAAGGGGACCTAAATCAGTGGTTTTACTGTGTACGCACTTTATCGATGCCCTCTTTGGTATTTTATATCAACTGAATTAGGTAATCGCATTAGCTACAGGGCCGCCAAGAAGGACGGGAGATGGGGGTAAAAGGGACAGTTTGCCTTGGGTAGCAGATATCCAAGGGGCGCCAAATGAAAAAAAGTTCTTTATAATATAGGGAAATTTTGATAAATCAGGACACTAATCAGGGTCGCTGTCACAGGTGGAGTGACAGCTCTCGGCGCCCTGATCAGCTATACTAGTACTAAAAATTTAAAAATCAAGAAAACTAGATTCACTGCTTGCTTGAATTTAAAATGCAATAGCTTGCAATAAATATTCTTTTGTAATTAACAAAATTAAATGACATTTGTTGTTGTTTTCGTTGAGACTTTGTAACTGTTTGTTGTTTTTGTTGAGACTTTGTACCACAATGTGATAGTGATGTAGTGGTAGAGCGCTCGCTTTATAAACGAGTGGTTCGGAGTTCGATACTCACCACGCCCCTGGTAGTACCGCGCTCAACTCGTTTCTCCGCGCAGCGGCCTTGTTCATCAAGGTTCGTGTTTCGGAGTTATAGAGTTGAGAGAGGGTTATAGCCACAAATAAGTAGCCTCCTCGTCTGTAGTGGCCTTCTCAGCCTTGAGGAGGTGAATTAAAATTAAAAAAATAAAAAAAAACTGTAACTTTACTTTGCTATGCGATTTATATATAAAGAAAATTAATATTAATTATAAAATTAAACTTGCAATAAATGGGAAATATGATATTTACAAGCTCGTGTTTACTATTTTCAAAACCTATTCGATTTTTCTATTTTTAAGACATTTCTTTTGATGAGACAATTTATTACATGATTCCGCTGAGATTTTCATTAAACATAAATTGCTATATTATTTTAAAAATCGCCATTTAATAGCCACCAGTGAAAAAAAATGGCCACCAGTGAAAAAGAAATATTTGAAAAAAAATGCTCTTAAAATGAAAGCAGCAACGATATCTTAAAATTAAAAATAAATCAAATATATTGCTCTTAATAATAATTGATTAAAATACACTAATTATTTTATAATATTAAAATATATTATTCTTAATAATAATTAATCAAATACATTAATTATTTTATAATCTAAAAATATATAACTCTTAATAAATCTTTGGAAAACTACATTTAATTTTGTATTGATTACATATTCATTTTCAAAAAATGTTACAGACGGCATTTTATTTTATTTTTGGCGCTGTCCAATCAATGTGTACAGCGCTGAAGTGGAGTAGAAGACAAAAGAATATATGAAAAGGACCCCACACATTTGCAAAACACATTTTAATCTCAGGGGGAGGGGGATGATTGGGAAATATTTTGACAAATTCCCAATTTCCACAAAACTCTGTATCAAATTTATTCCTGCTTAACACCTTGTTATACCACACTGGTATAATGATGTGGACTGCATTAGATGTTCCACTTGTATGCCACACTGATTTTAAACAATTATACAGTAAAACGCATTTCATTATCTTAAGCTATAAGCCAAGAGAACACACACACATACACACAGACATGTGCTTTAATTTTTCAGAAAAAAAAGAAAAACAAAGAATAATGAAATCAGTTAATATAGAGGCTCTCTTTTGCATGCTCTACCTAGATAGTCAGTCGATGTATTTACTGAAGCCCTTTCAACTATCTATTTCAGTAGTTAGTGTGCATCTAATGCTGCATTCATATGTATATATAAATATATGAATTTTCAGTTAATTTTTTCAAAATTATTCATTTGAAAAATTATTGGGGGACCAAATGCCCCTGCTGCCCCCCGGTTGCCACAGGCCTGATTAAATTACTAATAATTAAGTAAATTACTAATAGTAAATTTTTTTTTTCTTCTTGACTAAACTTTATGAATACAAAAATAAGTTAATGCTTAAAGGATAAAATTATTTTAGTGATAACATTTTAAAATAAAATCAATGCTTTTTTTATAAGCGCAAACAGGCAATTGATAATTTTTAATTTATTTAAAATAAATTTGTTTCATTGCAATGACTTTGCAAATTGCGGGAAAAGCTGTGCAAAAAATAATAGAAAAGATTAAATGGAAAAAAAAGTACAGATGACATGTTCTATTACATATAATAATTTCAAATAATAATGAAATAAATCTCTGAAGTTAGAGAAGAAAAACTTTTGCACATTTTATATCTCTTGCTCACTAAAATCATTTCAAAAATTGCTGTTGTTATGTTAATTAGTTAATAATAATGTTACTAACTCTTATTTGCAGATACTATTTAAACTAAATATTTAATACTTTAAATTGTTTTCATTAAATTGTTTTTACATTCATCTTCTTAGTATTAAAACAATTTGTTTAAAGAAACACTATAAAAATTATTAAAATTACATAATTTAATAAATATATATATATATAAATATATAATTTAATAAATATATATAAATATATATATATATATATATATTTATATATATATATATATATATATATATATATATATATATATTTAATAATCCTGTTATAAAAAAAAAAAGCGCAAGCGCTCAACTAGTAATTTTTAAATTATCTAGAAACCATGCATTCATTAATTTGCAATTTATTTGCAAAACTTACGAGAAAATAAATAAAACAATTTAAAGAAAAATAAAACAAATTGACTAAGTGCAGATGAAAAAAAAACTGTTCATAGTTAAATAAATAGTTTATTATATATTACTATAATATTAATAAAATAATATTTAAAGTTTTTATATTAAAATAATAATAAAATAAAAACTTTAAATCATTTAAGAAAAAATAATTTTTACCATCGCTAAAATAAAGTTAAATTAAATAAGTGAAGCAAAAAACTTAATGGTTATAGTTTACATCGTAACCTAGGTTACATACATTATGCGAAGTCGTCTTTTTAAAAGTATGCTTGCTGTAATATTGAAAAAAATGCTGAAAAAAGGTTGAAAGATTAGGTATACAAAAAGAGTGTTAAATACCTTGCCAATTTTCTTCTCAGTGGATGCTTGCTAACACAATTAATATACATTTCACAGAGCATAACTAAGTTGTTATCTTTATAAGTAGCGTTACTAACCAAATATTGATTCAACTAAAAATTTAAAAGTATATGCTACAAGTATATAAAGTTATTTAAAGATTTATACAAGAATATAAAGTTATCTAAATATTTTTTTTTTTTAAATTATTCACATTCATCTTTTTAATTATATCCCCAAGGCCCGAGATTTATTTGGGTTGTTTCAATTTATAATTATTGAGTTAATTATGTTTTAGATAAAGCTTTTTATTATTTTTTATTTATATTATGTATTTATATTATATTTTAAAAAAAATGAGTAGCCTCCTCGACTGTACTGGCCACAGTCGAGGAGGCTACTCATTTTTTTTTAAATTGAAACGACTTAAAATAAAAATGTGGTCATAAGTGTTAGTAATCATTATAAAAACTTAAAAAAAAATTAAATACTTAAATATATACCTCCTTCAATTTGCCAAGCTGGTCTTTTCCATTAGTAATACAACTAATGCAATCCTTTAAATCTTTGACATCAAGATTCAGCTCTTTAGAGAAAAAAAAATTCATAAAAATGGAAACAATATTTTAAAGAACTAAAACAAAGCAACATAAGTAGGTGTATGTGACCAAACAATCATCTTTAATTTTTACCATAAAATGTCAAATTTCTCTTTTTTTGTTTTTAATTAATTTAAAAGACTGGAGAAAGTTTGATAGATATGCTTAGCAACAATGACTTTACACCGTTCAAGTCTTATTGTAATCATATCTTTTAAGGTATGATTACAACACTGTGCAAGACTCATTGTAATCATACCTTTAAAGTAAGTTTTGATTTGGTTTGCAACTTTATAAAGGGCTTCTATGTAGAAGCTTCTATGATAACATGATGCTTTATCTGAATTTGTATGAAGAATTTTTAAACAAGAAAAATCATTTTTACTTTTAGCAAAAATAACATCAACATGACTGATTACATTAACAAGGGGTTACTCACATCTATATACAGCAGTAAAATAGACTTTTTATTCTCATATGACCATTTTCATTGAAGAAGACATCAACATGTAGAGTCATTCTTTATTTTATCAAATTACTCTTTTTAGCCTTCTCAAAATTTAGCAAAATTTTTTTTCAAAAATCTTTTAGCAAAAATTCAGTTTCTTTGTCAGGTTGCTCAAAAGATAGTATTACAAATGATTGTCCTTTTTACTATATTAATAACCGTAACACTAACCCTTACGGACTAGGCCCAATATTATTTAAAAACATTGGCATATAAAATTTGCCGAATTATCACGCAATGAGCAGTGAACGCTTGAAGGAAGAAATGAAGTACATTAGAATAAAAGAGAACTATTTTTTGAACAAAGCATATTTTAACAGTTGTCAAGACAAAAATAAAGATTAATAGAGGAATATTTAAAAATAAATAAAATAGACAATACACTTAAAACAGTACTTAAAAATAATAAAAACACTTATGCTTTACCTTGCAACTTACGCCTATTCGATACTGCAGTAAAAAAGGACTTTCTACAAATAGCCAAAACCCAACCATCCCCAAATTTGTAAAGCACCAAGATTTTTATGATAATATGATATTAAAAGTGCAGATCTACTAAAAAAAAAAAAAAAAAAACCAAGTATAATATATATATATATATATACATACATATATATATATATATATATATATATATACATATATATATATATATATATATATATATATATATATATATATATATATATATATATATATATATATATATATATATATATATATATATATATATATATATACTAATTATTATTGTTAAGTACTGTTTAAGGTGCATTGTCTGTCTTACTTATTTTTAAATATTCCTCTATTAATCTTTATTTTTAATATCACACAAAATTGGCAGTCATATTAAAAATATACTTCTCCTCCTTTTTTGCTATCGCATTACTTGAACATATTGGTAAGTATTTTGTTACATTAAAAAAGCTTAGAAAATAATTTTTATAAAGCACTTTTGTAGAGTTTTGTTATAAAACTGTCATTTATCCTAATTTTAATTAGAGTACCAATTAATAACAATGTAAAGTAGTCATCGTTACCTATACTGTTGCTAGAGTATGTTTTAAGTTCAAAATGTGGTAAAATAAGAATACTTCTTGGACTTCTGTAAGTTTTTTATCCCTTGAGTATGTGAATTTTATCAGATATTGGAAGATTCATGTATAATGAAAACCAAATAATTTACACATTTCATGACAGACCTAAGGTCACGATTGTGATGGGTAGTCTAAAACGAATTAACCACAAATATCCATTTTTAACAGCTTACTCCTCAGGCTCTTGCATGCACATGATTTTTTTTGTATAAATAGAACGTGTGTCTTTTGAAAACAATTAAGGCTTTCGAAAACAATTAAGGAATTCATGTGCAAGTTATGGCCTTAAGAGATATTAATGCTCTAAGTACATGTTAAATTTCAAATTTAGCAGTTTTGAACTATGATTTCTAGACAACAAAAAGTGTAACCGTATTGAGTTTAGGAAACCATATTGAGTTTAGGAAACCATATTGAGTTTAGGAAACCATATTGAGTTTAGGAAACCATATTGAGTTTAGGAAACCATATTGAGTTTAGGAAACCATATTGAGTTTAGGAAACCATATTGAGTTTAGGAAACCATATTGAGTTTAGGAAACCATCAGGAGTAGCACAAAAATAAAAAAGAAATCTCTCAAGATTCTTATAATAATGATAAAAATTGTTATTTTTCTTATTATTATTATAAGAACCATATTTTTATAGAATATTAGAGAAATACATCTTTCTGAAAAAGTTTTATTTCTCTAGCTTCTTTTTTTTTATTTTCCTAAAGTAAAATAAAATAGTGAGCTGAAGATCAAAAGGTAATTCATTCAAAAATTTAATTTACATGAATACTATTTAGTCATTAGGACTGAAATTTTTACTTTTGTTCATTTATTATTAAAATAGTTAACTTTTAATTGCTAACAAGCTAAAGTTAACTTTACTCTAAATAAACCTTTTAAAACTGTTCTATCTTTTGAAAAAACAATTTTTTTATACATTCACTTGTATTTAAAATGAGCTTCATAAAAAGTTTTGATTTTTTTTCAAATCTAATGTTGTACTAATTCCACGTAAAAGTGGGACAGTCAATTCAGACACCCCTTGGATTTTCTTTAAATTTTAACCAGTGGTACATATTAATAAAATATGAAAAAATGTAAAACTTGAGCTCCCAAATCCAAACGGTTCAAAATTTATGACATTTTGAAATTCAGCCTAAAATGTTCCTTTGTTTACCAAATCTGCCATTATGGATTTTGTAGTATTACTTTTTAATGAACAATTTAAGATCTAATAGAAAAATGTGGTTAAAAATTGGTACCTGACCATTTTTGAGGGTACTGAATTTAAAAATTTTTTGTTCTGTTACCATGGGTTGCGCTTTCATTAACTCCCAGAGTTGCTCATGTCTTATGGATTCAATTTATTTTTCAAATGAAGTATTAAATTTTAGGCTATTCTTATAAAAAAGATGGTTTTGGTTTCTTAAAACATAATAAAAATATGTCATTTTGAAATTAAGATAAAAAATCTTTTTTTTGGCCTCCATTCTCTATTATAGAATTTATAGCAATACTTTTTGTATGAATAATTTAGGTTCTAGAGAAAGAATATGACTGAAAATTGGTACCTGAACATTTTTAAAGGTGTTGAATACAAAGATAAAGAGAAAATAACCCAATTCTCAATATTTGAGAATAATTTTTTAATTTTTAAATATCAACAGTCAAATTTTTTGTTTCGTAACCATGGTTTACGTTTCACTTAAAATTTCTGGAGTTGCCTTACTCTAAATGTGAAATAACAGGTCTTAGAAAAGTTTAGACCTCTGAAAGAAAATAAAAAAATTATATTGGTTTGCATAACTTGCATATTTATAATTAAAATTTTCAAAAGTATACATGGAAATATAATTTACAATACATTTACTCTTTATCGTATTTGCAAAACAGGTATAGTAACATCATAACATAGTCAATTTTAAGAATTTCATATTTTTGTTTAGTGAGGAAGTCAAATGTTAGAACAAAATCATTATCATCTGATATCTTTTTCATTTTTTATAATTGAATGCTCATTCAATTGACAATTGGCTCTTCTCAAGAAGAAGACATAAATTGATTGAAACTTCTTGTCCCAGGAATAGTCGTTGCTATTAAAAGTCTATTTGTAAGTTTGTTTCTTACTAGTTCCAGTTCTTCAGCAGTGACATACACAAACATAATCCCACTAATTGACTATTGACAGTACTCAAACATTGCTTGAGAAGACAGTATTTGACCTGTGGTTAGACTCTACAAGCTAGCAGTTGCAACAAGCATTTTAACAGTGCCACCTATTCCATCACAAGGAGATTTGCTATAGCTTGTTGCAAATGCAACAAACAGAAAAATCTTGAGCATGGTGACATAAATAGTAAAAATATTTGCAGTCTTTTATACTTCCCTGTACAGCCATCAGAAAAATAATGAATTTTTGTAATTGTGGGACAAAGATAAGTTTCAATATGATTAATAGTTTTATGCATAACTTCATTGATAAATCCAACATCATGATTCAAATCATCTAAAATTACTTCTTCAACTTGCCTTATCTTTCTCTTTCCAAGCAAAGACTTGTTAGAGGTTTTGGGAGACACTTCAAGTTCACACAAAGTACTGTTGAGCAATGATCTTGCTGATTCCAGTATAACTTCTTTTTCTATATTGTTTTCAGGTAATTTTATCTCCAACTCATTTTCTTCTGATTCCTCACTTGATGCTAATTTATAGCTTTTTACCTGGTACTTCAAAATTTCCTTTCTGCATAGTTACTTTGCTGTATCCAAGTTGATTTTATAAAGAAAAAAAAGAAAGCCTTAAAAAAAAAGAAGAACTCTTTTAGTATGTATAAAAATGTTAATAAAACCATTTAAAGTTTAAAGTTGTATCATACAATTTTTGTATGGCATTAAATAGTGCATTTTCAGAAGTCAGCTAAAAGTAAAGTTAAATATAGCTAAAATAGAATTTGGCCAAGAATTTTATTATTGTAACTCACAACACTTACTATAAATACCCTTTATAACTTTCTTATGAGTATTAAGTGGATTGCAGCACCGTGTTAATTTAGTTGCATAACGCTTCAAATAAACATGTTTATGATAGAGACAAGTTGTTGATTTGACATTGATTATTGATAGCTTAGTCCTCCACATTAATATTTTTCTTTCATATTCAGGGATATCTTCAAAAGATTCAATTCCAACCACCAATGTATATGTTGCAAGATGTTGCACTGTTTGCCATTACTGAAAAACTGAATTACCAAATAAGACTCAATAATTATTTAATCTAAAATTAAAATAGTTTTTATCTTTATACAACTGATGTTTTAAAAATATATCTATCTTATATAACTGGCATTACAATACTATATTTATACGTCACAGCAGATGTCGCAAAACTAT